GAAATGAGAAAGGGCCAAGGTCCCATGGAGTTCCACCGGAAGGGGAGGGACTTCGCCACTCTATAACCGGAAAAGCATGACATGGGACATGGGACAATAGAGAGGCGAAGTCACGCCCATCTACTTCCGGTCCATGGGACCCCGGAAGCGAAAAATTATACATTGAATTCAATGGAGAGAGAAAATGTATCTTTTGATCCCGTTTGAATTGTGCCACGAACTACACATATGATGTTTGTCAATCTTAAACAATCATTTCCATGTCAAAAAAGTCACATTTTGTCGTAAAACTGTTGAAATATAAGACTATGAAAAATACGCGACTACAAAGACTACAAATCCCAAATCCCATTCTGGGTCGCGTAAGTGATGTCACAGGTGATAATGCTCCAAGTGGTTGGTTCACTTTTACAAGATGCCTGTGTGCTTTGTACCAGGTTGTAATCACAAAAGTGATCATACCACTTGCTCGTTCTATCGCTTCCCGTCTGATGAAAGGACCAGGAGTCGCTGGATCAGACATATCAGGTAATATCATAGGTAATATACATGTTGTGCATGGAACATAGTCAAGTTAGCTACCTAGCTAGTAGCGACGAGTAGCGAGCACGTTAGTTAGCATTACATTACTTAGCCTTGTCATTTTTAGTAGCCTTACCATGAAGTTATTATTTTATTACATGAAGTAAACCAAAATGTTAAACAGTAACCAAACATGATGGTAAGTATTTCGTGAAACTTTTGAAGAGTAGCCTACTGCGCCCTCCACCGGGTGCTAAGGAAGCAGTTCAGGGAGAGTCGAAGGCAGGCATGGAGCTTTTCATGACATTCTTCTGGACGTGTTTCATTGTGATGATATTGAGGGTGAGTCAATCTGTTTGTTGGAAAGACAGTCGTTGTGTGCTTATTGAGAGAAAATTGTTAGAAGAGATAATTATTCAAAGTGTTGTTACTTTAAAGTGTTGTTACTGACCTTTTTCTCTTTTATTTTCTTTACCTCACCTGTAACTGCTGAGACGTTGAGGAACATGCACACTGACCTGCTCTGGCAACCTGATTTCCACTGTACGTAATAGTATTTGGTTATGGTATATTATTTATATACATCAAAGGCACAATGCACCCCCCAGAGACACACATGTATTGAGTGTGATATTTTGCATAGGTCATGTGAAATCATCTTTACATACTAGAAAACTGTAGGAGCGGCAACTTGTTTTGAAATTGAATTTTTAATATCCGATAATAAAGTTGATCTGTTTTCTTTATTCTTCTCTCTGTTCCTGCAGGTCCTGCTTGCTAATCAATGGTCATATTTTTTTACACAATTACAAATAAAGTCATTGTATTGTATGACATGAAGTTGTGCTTCATTCAGAGTCAATAATAAATTCATTCTGCCTTCAACTGCACAATGATTGTGGACTGCACCGACATCCATGTAGCTGCCCCCCAGTAAGATGAACCAAGCAGAGCAAGTGAGTAGAGCATCATTGAGTTTCTTATTCTGTCAGTAAATTATCCAAATTAAATGTTTTTCATTATTTTAGTCAACCCTAAACAATTTTATTGTACCTTTTAATAATGACCTTACATGTTCGGCAAAGTTAAATTAACTTCAGAAAATCAAATCTGTTCTGAGAAAAAACTAATAAATGTTTAAAGATAGGAACTTGCCATCCCACTGAAAAACAGTCCGTAGAGATTTTAAGGCGTAGTTGTAGTTCAGTCCAACGTTTCATTTGGATTCATTTGACAACAGTCAACTATTTTCATAAAGAATATATATATTTTTCAAAGTCAACTTTATTGTCAATCTTACTCAGTTTGTGTTTATAGACAGAGAGATCAAAAAGACGTTTAAATAAAATTATACAGTTTACAGATATGTATACAAATATATATATCCTATATACACCATCATGTATAATGATGGTGTATGATGTAGAAGGAAGTGTGGTAGATAACAAGTAAATATAGAGTTACATACAGATCCATGTTACAGCAAAAGATGGAATAACTAAGAAGCACGCAGTATAATAATAATTACATGCAACAATTAAATAACTGCTCAGCATCTCCACCACAATCCCAATCTGCTGTGTCCTGTTTTCCTCCCCTCTGCATAACACCCCATCACACATACCAAACACAACGCAGAGTCCGAGGGTGTTAAGAGTATGTTTATTTAAATGTCCTCCTCTCTACTGGCCAACACAGGGAGCATATGCTGGGTGTATAATTTGTCCAGGAGGAGGAGATTTCCATGCCATGCAGGGTCTTTGGGGATGGGGATGATGATCGCCTCCTTCGTGGTCCACACAACAAACTAGCAGAGACTCCGGTCTGTGATGTGCAGCTGCCCTTGGACCTGGTGCCAGTATGGGTGATTCTCCTTGAGAATATATGACCCACCCTCCTCACGAAGACAGAAGGATGGTAACTGGACTGCCTCCGCGATGGTCATGTTCCTCTGGCTGTGTGGACACTTCACCTCCAGCAGGGCAGATGGCTGCACAAGTACATCGGGTGATGCTCCCAAAACACCCGACTCACTCACAAAGAGACCAGACTCGATTTGAACACTGTCACTTGATAGGCCTCCACAAAAGCCTTCACCCCTTCGGCCTCGTTTACAACCCCCCAGTTGACAGTTGGCGATGTCTCTGGCCAGTGGGTTGTATGTCTCCTCTCGCTGTTGGTAAAGTTGAGACACCGGCTGGACTACTTTGGAAGTGCCAGTCTTCCTCCACTGGCACTCAACATCTGTGGAGCTGATCTGCCACATGGCAAATATTGCCAATGCTGCAGCGTGGCTGCATTTGTACATCCCCTGTGCACAATCACAGACAGCGCTCTGCATCGCGCCATCGTCTCCCATGCAGATCTGTAAAAATAAAGTAAGTACCATTTGTTAGCATGCTATAATAGATTGAATGAGCAATAATACAAGGATGGTCCGGATCTGGGGGTGGGAGGATTTATTTTTCCATAGTTTTGTCCTCTTGTCTGATTGTTGTTATTGTTTGTTTTTTCTGTATTTTTTGTAATTTGTGCTGTATTGGTTGTGATTGTACATTGTATTTTTCTAAATGTGTATGAATACATTTTTGAAAAACATTTGATCAACAATAAAAAAGGATTTGGTCAGGATCTAGACTCAGTGTGTAGTTTATTAATTAATCAATGCTCTCTACATTAGGAAAACACATACCGGTGTACCAGAGGGAGTCACACACAGCTGTGCCTAGATAACCAAAATCCTTGAATCTACACACAGCAAATAAACTCAAATGACACAACGAGAAAAAGGAGATCACACATACAGTATAGTCGATATAAAACTCCGCTTCAATCTGAAGAGCAACTAAAACAAAACACGGGAGTGTACCTTGTTCTTGTGAACACTAATGTTATCCACAGCATACTCAGAGACGAATTTCTTAAGGAGAAAACTAGTTACTAAAACAAAACACGTTAGTGTACCTTGTTAGCTAATGTTAGCTAGCTGACATTAACGTTACACATTGCACTCATATTACTCACCGAAACTTTGTAAAGCCGGTCCCGCTGCTCTTACAGAACCGACTAACTCCCCTTTCGTGTATGTACAGCTCTCAACATGCCCAGACTTGTAGTGATGTTCACCTCGTTTTATACTTTTCGCCTCATTCTGAAAGAAACAGGTGAAATTTGCTAACGTGACGGCCGTCTTTGTGATGGTGACGCGTTTTGTGCGAGACCAGAGACCTGTAGTTCACTGAGCGGTTTCACACAAAAAAATGTGTAACTTCACAGTTTTACGACACATTTTTATTTTTTTGACTTGTAAAATGTTCTTTTAAATTGACAAACATCATATGTGTCATTCGTGGCACAATTCAAACGGGATCAAAAGATAACCTTTCTCTCTCCATTGACTTCAATGTATAATTTTCCGCTTCCGGGGTCCCATGGAGGCTCCCGGAAGGGGAGGGACTTCGCCTCTCTATATGTACATAGATGAGAGTAACACCTACGTCACTTCCGGGCAAAAATTACGGCCCCGCCCACTTTTGAGGGAAAACAACGCTGTCATTTGAATGGCGGTCAATACAAATTCTGAAGTTTTTGCCAATCCGATCACATTTTTTTGAAAACCGTCGATTTTTGGATCTTCAAAGAGCTCGATTACGATGGCCAGACAGGCAAACAATTACATTTGATCATTGGTAATCGACAATCAGTCTTGATATATGGTTACATTAAAATCAGTAGGCGAGGCTGTAATTTCTCCAGCTGTTACTCTCATGAGCGAGGCGGAACATAATAGTTGTATCATGCCAACAAGCTGCCGTGTCGTTTATTGCACATCAAACATTACAAATAATCCAGAGTTCAGTGTTTCTGTACTTCCTCTAAGAAGAAAGGACAGTAAAAGAAGAGCTCTGTGGCTTCAGGCCGTTCTTATTATACATCCATGCTTCAGGCTCGATCGCCATTCAAATGACAGCGTTGTTTCCCCCAAAAGTGGGTGGGGCCGTAAAGTGACGTCGATGTTACTCTCATCTATAAAAATCGATAGCCTACTGCTATATTTAACCATATATCGAGCCCGATCGTCGATTTCTAATGGCTTAATGCAATTGTTTGCCTGTCTGGTCATTGGAATCGGGCTCTTTGATGATCCAAAAATCTCCGGTTTTCTTAAATTTCTGATCGGATTGGCAAAAACTTCAGAATTTGTATTGACCGCCGTTCAACTGACAGCGTTGTTTTCCCCCAAAAGTGGGCGGAGACGTTATTTTTGCCCGGAAGTGACGCATTTGTTACTCTCATTTTAGGCCAAAGCCCTTTGTTGTAATTACTTTAATTATATTTTAATATATTTGTTATATGTTGTATTTATGATATGATTGATGATTTAAATATCCAAGCCTTGTTGTTTTGTCAAATCCTTCAAATAAAAAAATGTTATTAAAACAAATCGAAGAAGAAGCTGACGGAAGTGGCGTAATGTTGTTGACGCGAGGTGTATGCTGGGAAAGTTTTGATCGTTCGCCATTTTCCTGTTAGAAAGAGAGAGGGAGAGCCTGAAAGGTTGTAGCCTCGTAGCTACCAACATTACCAGGTACATTAACGTTAGCTCTTCACTGGGTAAGAAACAGTATTATGGGATTCTCTTTTAGAAACTGATGTTTTTGGCGCCCCAACCCTCAGTTGCGTTTACTGAACCAAATGGCCTAAATACTGTTCTGTTGCACGGAGAGATGGTTCTATAACTCAGTGAAGCAAAGTGCTACGGGATGGATGCTCTGCACCTGGTTCATCCACAGCTTCATCCGGGTATTTAGTTACCCTTCATAGTGATAGTGAGCCTTTAATGTCAGCCGTGTAGCATTAGCTCGGACAGCTAACATTAGCTAGTTTCTGCACTGTGCGTTTTTGGCATCCAGCTGCTAAGACAGCTGTCAAATATGTTAGCGTTAAGACCAGATATGTCACTGTCTGTCAATATGCACAATATATCGTCAAGTCATAAGAGAGGCGATAACAGCGACTTTAACATACATATTTTCCGAGTTGTGCTGCTGGTGAAATGTAGTTGCTCGTTTAATTTAATAACGAGGAAGTGAAGTGCACATTTTCTGGTTGTTGAACCAAAAATGCTACCATTTCAGCTCCAAACGTTGCTTCAAATGGAATAGCTGCTTCTTTATAAGATATTGCTTATCCACATTTCGAGATTTCTTAAATGCCAGTTCATCTTTTTGTTGTTTCTCTCTATAAGCTGTGACTCTGGGTGTGACACCTGCCTGTGACTGACCGAGTGTGTCAGGGTCCTGTCAAGTATTATCTTTGTCTTGTCATTCAGTTAGTATTACATTAACATTAGGTTGCTGTGGTTAATTTGCACAACATGCCTTGTAAATGAAAAACATTGACAATATCACACTGTCAGGAGATGTATTTATCTTCCCTGTCATACAAACATGTTTATCTGTAGGCTGTGTTTAGCAAAGTGACATATTTGCTACTGAATGGTGGTTTTCTTCTGGACTATGTCAGACCTAATGAGGAAGGACAACCTATATTCATCTCATTTAGTTTGTATTTTAATAGTGTGTATGCTTATCCACCTGCAGATGTATCCTACCTGGTTGATTATAAAGTGCCTATTCTTTTTTTAAGAGGAATGTTTAAATAAATGTTATAATTGAATAACAACAAACTAAGTATCTGCATGGCCCCTACACTGTTTCTCTGTTAAGACCATTTCTATGATAGCCTCAGCTGTACAGGAGCGTTGTTTGTGGTTCTTAACATCATTTGCTGTCTCCCTAACAAGAAGTAACAATGTTATCGCATAGGCATGGATGCTTGTGCTCTGTTTGCAGTTGGTAGGAAATGCAGCTTGATATTTACTGCCTGTCTTTGTTTCTCTTCAGACAAGATGGCGAGTCCGGGGAAAGACACGTTCAGGATGAAGAGCTATAAGAACAAGGCCCTGATTCCTCAGGAGATGCGTCGAAGGAGAGAGGAGGAAGGAATACAGCTACGCAAACAGAAAAGAGAGGAGCAGGTAAACACACTTCTTAAACCTCCTGACCACTAAACCTGTTCCTGGCACATTATCCCCAGCACAGTCGTCGCAACAACAACAACAACACTTCACATCAAATCAGCATCAAGGTCGAGGGTCTGTATGTATGATGGTATTGTGGGGGTTTCTAAGTGACCTAAGTAACACCCTCAGGTTCCTCTCAGCTGTTCCTTTATGGTGTTTGAAACACGTTGGACAGCAGTTTAACAGATTCAAATGCTTCTTGTTGTTATTTATAGTAAACCTCTTTGATTTAAGTCTTCTGCCAAAAGTTTAAAATACAATACAATAGTCAATAGAAAGCATTACAAAACGGCACAATAACAAAACAATCATAAAATACAAAACTATATACATACGGTATTACAGAGACGACCATCCTTTGTTTGTTTGTGCTTCTTTACACTACCAGAACAACAACCCCTGTGGTCTATTCCGTTTTCTTCTCACTCTCTATTTTCTCTTTTCTGATTATTATTATTTATGTATTTACGCTATTTTAGCGTCATTTCAATAGATTATCTTTCAACCAAACTGTACTATCAATACTTTGTGACTTCAAATAATGAATGATAATAATACAAAAAAGAGCAATAAGATAAACAAGTGAAACTATTAAAAAGGCCAATGTGTTGTGGTGAAAAGTATTTTCAAATGTGTCTTAAAGAGGAGATAACAGCAGAAACAAAAGGGTCTACTGTGATAAATCTCCTGTGCACTTTTCTTTTGTGCGTGGGTGTTGGATCATTCATCAAGCCAAAATGCTATACATATGAGGAGCTGGTTAACCATGTGACGGTGACTGTGTGCCCACAGCTGTACAAGAGGAGGAATGTGTGTGTTCCTTCAAGTGATGAATCCATGCTGGAGTGTCCGATCCAGGATCCAGACGTCAGCTCCACAGTGCCTGCTGCCGGGGCAAGTGCTGCTTCTCTCTTCTGTTTCCGCCTTCTATTAAAAGCTATCTGAGCATGACCATCATTTTATCCCTCTAATGTGAACAGGAGGGGGTCATCACTCCAGATATGATTCAAATGATCTTCTCTGAGGACCCAGACCAGCAGCTCATTGCTACACAGAAATTTAGGAAATTACTCTCCAAAGGTTGGTGTTGCATCTCAGAATGTCTATATTCTAGGGATGTGCATCTCCATCACTGAGGCCGATGCGATGCGCATCTCGATACGTTGCCACGATACGATACATTAACGATACATTTGAAAGACCAGGCGATGCGATACGATACGATTCACCCCTGTTGCGATACAGTTCGATACGATTTGATTCAACATTGTGCGATTCGGTGCGATACGATACGATTCAACACGATACAAAAATAATGATACTTCAATTTGGTACGACAGAGGATTTTTGTTTTATTCCTTATATACAGCAAATCATACATTAACAAAAAAGTGATTTACATATTTGGTACTGCACATCCCATCATGCCGTTTATTTTTTTACCTTTAAAAGCTCTCCAGAGTAGGCTACAGTACAATTGTATAACACCTCACAGTTAAACAATGTAAGGAGGCATTGCTCATGATTAACAATGTGCAAATAACAGCTACCATAGAGCAATGCCCATACAGCTGCCAGCCTGATGTGCTTAACACTCATCCATAGGCTAACTCACCAGTGAGCAGAAAGCGGTGGGTTCTATATGAACAATAAAGAATACAAATAACCTTTCACAAACAGGTATTTCATAACTGCTTACAGTGAGGAATACATTTAAATTATTATTGGCCGTCACAGGCTGCTGTAAACTAAACACCACTCTCTCTGACAGAACACCTCACTGAGTGATTTAACTCGCATGTCTAACTTTCAGGTTTCTCTTTTCAGCCGCAGACCCCATGTCGACTCTTTATGTGCGTCGCTAAGTTCCTCGTACTACTTGTGTACTTTAAAGCGGCTCGGCATCGTGAACAATTTGCGAGCGATTTTTCAAGTTGACCGTCTGTAGTATATAGTGCCGCGCACATATACCATCAGGACGTTACTGATGGGGTGCGGCTGCGGAGTGATACTGTGTGTATGCAAGCCCGCATCTAGGACGGATCTATGTATCATGGCTGTAGACCTGTTAAGTAATAAAGATACCTCATACAAAGGTCTACGGATACCTTATTACTCTCCATGACCTGCGGTCAACTATATAGCCTAGCATAAAGGACTATTACACCGTCTTTCTTGAACAATCCGAAGTCTTGGCAAACGTTTGATTTGTAGGTATTTTTCGGTGCGCTGTGTTTCTCTTTCTCCTCAACTTCTGTGTGTGTTGATAACTGAGACTCTCGGCCTCCGTAGTGGCGAAGCAAATATCAAAGATAGTCTCTGCTTAGCGTTGACAAGATGAGGGGATTTTATATGAATGAATCGGTTTTTTACCGATGCAAAGACGCTACGCAATCGATGCATCGCGAGTTCAACCCGGTTCAACCCAAACTGTAGCCGATGTGCACTCTTTCAACCGGTGCACTCGCATCTTGAACGTTTATGCCGGTGCACCGATGCGAATCGGTGAATCTTAACATCTCTACTATATTCCTATCATTCATGGATTTCATCTGCCACCGCTTCATATAGTATCTGTTGTAGCACACTGTAAATCATTCATATAATACATTAAGGGTCTCTCCAAAATACCACCACAATGACCACTACATTTCAAACTGTAGTTAGTAATGAAAAACGGATGTAAGGCAAGCACCCTTGATATTTTGGAGGATCAACATAAAATGGAAGATTTACCAAAACCCATAAGGCCAATTTTGTCACTGTCCTATAATAAAAGAATGATGACTGGACACCGTTTTCCCTGCATAGGGTTCAATCACTTTGCTGTTATACATAATCGTTTGTGCTAATCTAACCTTAATATCCACCCCCATAAACACGTATACTATAAGAGACTGTGTGTATTCTTCTGTGCAGAGCCCAACCCCCCCATAGATGAGGTCATTTCCACTGCTGGTGTTGTCAATCTTTTTGTGCAGTTCCTGAAGAGGAGTGAGAACTGCACTCTACAGGTGAGAGCCACACAACACACCTGTAAATGAATGTCATGATTCTTCCTATTCCTCTCTAAATGTGTCCAGCCTGGTGTTTATGGGGGCACCATCTGTGTCTATATATTTAGCTTGGCCATGTGACCAGTGTTAATTTTGGCAGCTGTTTTTGATTTAGTCTTAGTCTTTAGACGAACATGGTTATTAGTTTTAGTCACATTTTAGTCATTTCTATCCTTCATAGTTTTAGTCTAGTTTTAGTCGACGAAAACTCAAAATGTTTTAGTCTAGATTTAGTCGACGAAAACTCAAAATGTTTTAGTCTAGTTTTAGTCGACGAAAACTCAAAACGTTTTAGTCTAGTTTTAGTCGACGAAAACTCAAAACGTTTTAGCCTACTTTTAGTCGATGAAAAATTACATTTTAGTCAACTTTTAGTCAAAATGTTTTCTCTCTTTAAACTAATTCAGTTATCTAGCAAATACAGGTTTCTGACATTGGAATCAATGTGACAGCATCAAGTGTTGAAATTTGTAAAGCAACATTTCACTCTCTTAACACTTTAATTGTGTAATATCTAGGGATGGATATCGTTAAGGTTTTCTACGGTACTACTATCTTATCGATACTGCTTATCGATCCGGTACTTTAACGGTATTCTTGTATTTACTTTTTGTTATCTTTTAAAGGGAAAAACTAACAAATTGTTAACCAAATTAATTGCTTTATTTAAATGTGAAATAAATGTAATATATATAATTATGTTAAAATATTGTACTGTACTTGAGTAAAATGTTGAGGTACTTGTACTTTACTGGAGTATTTAAATGTTTTGCCACTGTGTACTTCTATTCCACTACAGTTCAGAGGTAACTGGTGTACTTTGACTCCACTACATGTATTTAATACCTTGAGTTACTTTACAGATGTGGATGAATGATGTGAAATATAATCAAGTGTTGAATCAGACTTTAGTTCCACCTGGAGTAAATCCACAAGCTACCCTGCAGTATACAAAGTCATTACAACTAGCTGCACCTTTACCAGCTTTGAGAACACTTTCATGATCAATCATTATAAAACATATCATATATATTATTCAGAAATGGACCAATCTGCACGATGACTACTTTTACTGTCGCTACTTTCACTATATTTTGATGATCATACTTTTACTTGAGGAACTCTTCCTACACTATGGGAATTTTTTTACTTAACTACAAGATCTGAATACTTCTCGCACCTCAGCACACCTGATGTGATAACGTTACTCGTAATTGGGGCAACAGAGCTACGAGTTAAGGAAGTCGAAAATTGTTAATTTCTCTGACTGAATATGACGCCTTTTGGCCGGCTGTTTAGACAGACTACTCGACTCGTGTCAACGCGCTAACGCGAAAACACTAATGGCAAACGAGCTTTGTCCACATCGAGCCTTGTAGAGTGTCTGTATACTTTTGAACGCTCCGTCCCCGGCAGATCTCTGTGTGCCGCTGCAGCGTGTCTGTTAGGCCCCGCCCCCCCGCACACAGAAGAGGCTTCTCAATACTCAAATTTCCCCTCCTCGGGTCCTCGGTCCTCGGTCCTCCGGTAGTGACCCGGAAATGAATTTCAGCGCGCCGTTTTGAAGGACGTCTCATTTCTCTAAATGCACACCGAGGATCGAGCGTCGAGGAGGCTCTCTGGAGGAGCTATAACCGAGGATACACTGATGGTTCCTCCACGGCTCCTCCGCGGATGCATTTCCGGGAACGGTGGAGGCGTGACGCACGGCCCGACTTATCTCAGCCAATGACAGCTCTGCATGCATCCTCTGGATATTATTTTAGAAACTGCTTTCATCGCGTTGCGATGTTTACAGAGAGAACAGCTGTGGGGTCCATGCAGAAAGCAGAGCAGTGTACAATATCACTCAGTATAACAGGCCTACATTACTCTCTTTATTTGCTGTAGTACAAAGAGTCGATATTTTTCTAAGACCATTTAGTGCGTCACATAATAAAATACACAACGGCTGGAGCCTGATTATGCTTTAGGAGCTGTAAGTGTGTGTTGTAGGCAGTGTGTATGTGTGTGTGTGTGGTACAGTATGTAGGTGTGTGTTGTACAGTGCGTAGATGCGGCGGACAGACGGGTCTCAGTTGGTTTGGTGTCCTCTGCTTACTTTTAATTTAATTTAATTTCAAATCTTTATTTATACAGATAAATCCCATTGAGATCATTGATCTCTTTTTCAAGGGAGACCTGCTCAAGTAGTTCCACATGAAACATAAAAACATAAATAGAACAACAAAAGGACATCAAACAGCATCATTTACATAATTATCCACATAAACAGGTACCAATAGCTTCCGATTGACTAGCATCCAACCGAGCTTTAAAAACATTTAGTGGCACCAGATTGTTCAGTTTCCATTTAATTTGCAGACTATTCCAAGACAGAGGAGCTGCGCATCTAAAAGCTGTCTTCCCTAAGACAGTCCTAGCAGTTGGCACATTTAATAAAACCACAGCATGCGATTTCAGGCAGTAGCCACTTACAATTCTCCGTGAGATCAGGGAGCAGATATAAGATGGAAGTTTCCCTAACATGGCTTTGTATGTAAGGGAAACTTCCATCTTATATCTGCTCCCTGATCTCACGGAGAATTGTAAGTGGCTTATTATTATTACAAGTTAATACTTGTAAATACAACTTTTGGCCCGTAATTTCAATTCCCCATTTCAGCGACCAGAGAGAGGGGGGGATATATCCAGTCTCTGATTGTGTTACGTTATTATGAGAGTGCTCTCATACTTTAAATTGTATATATTTATATAAATATATTTGTGTGTGTGTGTCCGCATCTGTGCCTGTTATTGTCTCATTATACCGCACTCTCAATGAATTCAAAGTAAATATGTGGGGGAACAATGTTCAGCTGATCTAACAGAGATTATAAAATACAGCGCTATGACAAAACACTCGACAGCTGTTGCAGCTGTTGCCACGTAATAATGAACGGACGTCAGGAGAGGAGTTCTCATTTCTTTAAACGTCTGCTGCTTCCCCTCCTCTCTCCTCGGTTCCCCTCCTCGGTCCTCCGCTCGCATCTCCTGTGGGCGGGTCTAAGTCTCGAGGAGGGGAACCGAGGAGGGGAGTCGAGGAGGGGAAATTTGAGTATTGAGAAGCCTCTAGAGAGACACAGGGAGATCGTTCTTCTGGAGTGAAGAGAGCGGAAATAATGATATTGCAAGTTAGAAACGTAAGATGCATTTTGACAGACAAGACGGACAATTGGGGGGAAATACCCTGCATTTTGAATGTCCGATAGTCGATTAATCGATTATTATTCGCCAGGGCTGCCGAATAATCGATTTTGATCATGGTCAGTTTCTGGCAACCCTAGTGACTAGGCACTGTGGAAGAGGTTTCAGTTACGAAGGATAACATCTGAATTCATTCATCATTTTGAAGGATAAGATCACTGACTGAAACACCTTGCTGTAACTTTGAAGTAGTTCTCTCTTCCTCCCTCCTCCCTTTGCCCATCAGTGGATCAGCTGTGCTGCAGGAGCAGAGCTTGATGTGGGATTTCAGCCCGTTGAATAATATTATTAAGGATCAGTAAATGTAATCTTGCATCTTTTAACATCTGATCACTCTACTGGAAGAAAACGTCCCTAACTTCTAAAGTTCTCTGATGTAGCGCTGCTCGTTCAGGGTCTAGAAGCAGAGTGCAAGCAGGTTCAGCCGTCAGAGCAAAATTACCATGGCAACAAGAAGTCGTGTGTCTGTGGCAAGCACACAACAAGTCGTGTATAGCAGGCTTCAGTGTTTCCCCTAGGATGGAGTCATAGCAGCGGTGCTAAGGCACGCGGGCCCAGCTAAATGTGAGCGTGGAGCGCGTGGAACTTTTTTGGCGAAGTGCGCCAATATGTTTCTATGGGTCTGCCAGCACAAGAAAGGCTCAACACTCGTATGAAAGGGAGCTGTATACTTTTCAATAATCCAAAAATCTTTAGAATATAATCACAACCAATAACAAATCATTTAAACTTGTTTATTCTTATCTTATGTTACCTATAGCATTCTTTATTTTTCTTTATGCATATTACTAATCACTCCCCTTTTAAACTGTTTTTTTTTTTACTGTCCATAGTACGCATTGGAATGATTTCTTACTTTATTTTTTACAACTATATTAAATAGTTAAAGGTGTGCTCTCTCGCTCTCTCTCTGTCTCGCTCGCTCACAGAGGCTGTGTGGCCACGGATTATTATATTACTGGTGCCCCGTAGCAGCGGCGCGGAAACACTGGGCTTATAGCAGGCTCAAGAAGCTTTTTAAAGGTGTTTGGGGAATTTGGGCTCATTCAGAGTTAGTGTGAAGAAGGGCTGAATGACAGCATATTTTTTTATTAAAATGATACATTTGTTTCCTTGGCACGAAAAAGTAACAATTTAAGAAATAAAAAGCAAATGGTATCCCTACCAAAAATAACTTACACCAGTTAAAGTCATTCTTTGTAACGTCTCAGTGCCACTTCAGTGGTATAGAATATCACATGTAGGGATGGGTATAGTTTGAAATGTATCGATTCCGGTTCTTATCGATTCCCTGTTTCGATTCCAAAATTGTAAAAGAAAGAGGTCAAACGTTTAGATAACAAAAATATCTTTATTCTTTTAAGCTTTAACTGACATTTTTACAAATAAAAAATATACATGCAATACAAATGTATTGCACAATAGATGGGCTTTATTTTAACTGAGCTATGCCTGTGGCCAGCTATTAACAGGCATTACACTCTGCCTTGTCTTTTTCTTTTTTAGTGTAGTGGAGCCTCGCGTTAGAGCATTTACCGCGATCTATCTTTGGTGTTATGAAGTGACTGAGCTCGTGAACTGTCTACGGGAGGGCGGGGGGAGCGTCGCTGTGGGGCAACTGTGGACCTCTGTCGCCTGTCAGCGCAACTTACATGATGCCGTTTCAGCGAACCGAGCCGGCCGTCAACGGCCCGCTGACGACTGGCCGTTCTGTGATTCTCCAGAACACACAGATGGCCTGTCCGCCCTTATCCTGTCTGTATTCCACCGGGTCACCGCGGCGCAGACGGACCCGGTGGAATACAGGGTCTACCGCGTTTAGGAACCGTTAAGCAGAACCGTTAAGCAGAACCGAAATTGTGTATTTTGTATGGGTACCCGGTACCCGGCATTTTCTTATCGGTTCTCATCTGGAACCGAGTTTCGGTTCCCAACCCTAATCATATGTTCCTTATTGCTTGACTCAAGAAGTGAATTCAGATTGTGGATTGACTGACATACTATTTTCTCCTCTATTGTGTGTGTGTTTCACAGTTTGAGGCGGCCTGGGCACTCACCAACATCGCCTCTGGGACCTTCCTGCACACTAAGGTGGTGATTGAAACAGGAGCGGTCCCCATCTTCATCGAGCTGCTCAACTCTGAGTACGAGGATGTCCAGGAACAGGTGAGAGCCCCCAAGGCAGCAACAAACCCTGCCAGAGCCCCAAACCGTATTCCTGTTAGGAGTTCTGAACTTGTTCCCTGATTGATCCAGCACATCCCACCTGGATAACTGAAGCATGGTTTGTGTTTCAGGCGGTGTGGGCCTTGGGGAACATAGCTGGAGATAACGCTGAGTGCAGAGACTACGTGCTGGACTGTGGCATCCTGCCATTTCTACAACAGTAAGTGTTCCTCCTCTGTCTGGATGTGTTGAAACATCACTTCATCGCAACTGAAAACTGTGTTGTTGCCTTCAGGTTACTCGCAAAGTCCAACCGTCTTACAACGACTCGCAACGCAGTGTGGGCTCTGTCCAACCTCTGCCGGGGGAAGAACCCACCACCTGATTTTGCCAAAGTGAGTCTGTTATAACTTATCTGGAACTTGCAACCGACATTCCTAATTTCTGCTTGCAGCATTAATCATTGAGTAATACATCCACTGGTATTATCTGTCCTGACTCTGCTGTGGTGTCTCTCCGTGTGGAGGTGTCTCCCTGTCTCAAGGTGCTGTCCCGGCTGCTGTTCAGCAGTGATCCAGATGTTCTGGCTGATGCCTGCTGGGCTCTGTCCTACCTGTCTGACGGACCCAATGAAAAGATCCAGACGGTCATCGACTCAGGGGTGTGCCGCAGATTGGTGGAGCTGCTCATGTAAGCAGGGTTGGGAGGGTTGCTTTAGAAATGTATTCTGTTAAAATGACTAGTTACCAGTAAATGTAACCAGTAACCTAATCTGCATATGTAAGACAGCAGAACAATGTGATCTTAGAAAATGAGAAACCAAGATATTTAGTTAAAAATGTTTCCTCTGCTCAGAGATTTCTTTGAGAGGAGAATCCCTATTGCAAGTCATTTAAAAGTAATCTGCTTTTTGTATGTAACTGTAAGGTAATACAGTTTCCAGTTTTTAAAATTCTGATAACGTATTCCTGTTACATGTAATCCATCACTCCTGAAGCCTTCATGAAATATACATATGGATGTAATAAAGTACATAGAGCTCCACCTAGTGGCCAAAATTAGTAGTTATGCCAATGTGCATGTGGCTGTAGGACAGGGGTGCCCACACTATTTCGGCTTGTGAGCTACTCTTAAAAGGACCAGGTCAAAATGATATACCTGTATTAAAACATGCCAAATATATTTATTTATATATGTACTGAATATACTTTTATATATAAAATATATGTTGGTGTACCTTGCATCACTGCATGGACCCTTATGTCACAACATATTATAGTATGATATACAAGAGGGCTTGCTATAACAACATTAAAGTGCTTAAATGTTCTTTGTACAGGCACAGTGACTATAAGGTGGTTTCTCCTGCTCTGCGTGCAGTCGGCAACATTGTAACAGGAGATGACATCCAGACTCAGGTAGAGGCTCAATTACTACAGTCATTTATATGCAAGTGATAAATGTAGCCCTCACAGTTCTGTATCTCTGTTTGGAACCCCAGGTTATCTTGAACTGCTCAGCTCTGCCGTGTCTCCTCCACCTGCTCAGCAGTCCCAAGGAGTCCATCAAGAAGGAGGCGTGCTGGACCGTGTCCAACATCACTGCAGGGAACCGGGCTCAGATCCAGGTAGAGCTGCTCCACCTGCCTGTCCTCTGAAGCAGGGCTGTTGTTCTGTGTCGCTGACAACTTTCCTTCTCTCTGTCAGAATGTGATTGATGCCAACATCTTCCCAGTGCTGATCGAGATCCTCCAGAAGGCCGAGTTCCGCACGAGGAAGGAGGCGGCGTGGGCCGTCACTAACGCCACCTCCGGGGGCACGCCGGCACAGATAACGTCCGTGTAGCACCATTTCTCTTCTCTACCAAAAGCAAACCCTGCCAGTTGAATTCCGATCATTTAAATACTTACTTTAATGAAAATGTCTCATTGTGTGAATAGGTACCTGGTGTCCTTGAACACCATCAAACCCATGTGTGATCTGCTCACCGTGATGGACTCGAAGATCGTGCAGGTGTCTCTGAACGGTCTGGAGAACATCCTGCGGCTGGGGGAGCAGGAGGCCAAGCAGAGCGGCAGCGGCATCAACCCGTACTGCGCTCTCATCGAGGAGGCTTACGGTACAGCGCTGCAACACACACAATACATCTCTCACCCACACCTCCATTCACTTCTCTGATGTGACAGGAAGTTAGTTAGTTTGTCACTGGTTCCGTAACCACAAATACATTATTGAGCCAGCTATTCTCCACTGTTACATGCACTGCTATATTTAGGTTTATTATCTGAATATCCTTAATGTGTTTTACACACACAACTGACAGATTAACAGACAGCTGGTCGGGTCTCTATGTTGCATGCTTCGCTACAGCAGCCTTCTGATACTGCTTTTATGGAGTGGTTTTCTCCATGGGCGAACTTTCCTGAAACACAAAAATGTTTTCTTTTGTGATCACATTTTTTAAATGTATTAAACAAATGGTACAATCAATAACATCAAATGCAATACAGTACAAAACAGCACAAAAAAACTAAAGAAAGAAACAAAACACACTTGTTTGGAAACAAGGCCACTTGTACCTCAAGTGGAGTGTAGAATTGTATGCAGCGGGTGTGGTGATAGAGGACTTTGCAATGGAACACCGCTAGCCCTTAAAGCCGACCTCAACTGTAGAAACACAAAAATGTTAACAAATATTTTAACGTTTTAGCTTTTGAAACTTTGTTAACGACAAAGTTGTGGCATATCCTAATCTGCAGTTCAGTCAATCCTTGTTTTTATGCCACATACATGTGTGTAACATAATGTATGCGTACCCCTGCAGGCCTGGACAAAATCGAGTTCCTGCAGAGCCACGAGAACCAGGAGATCTACCAGAAGGCCTTCGACCTAATCGAACACTACTTTGGAGTGGAGGAGGAGGACGCCAGCCTGGCCCCCCAGGTGGACCACACCCAGGGCCAGTTCCTGTTCCAGCAGCAGGAGGGACCCATGGAGGGGTTCCAGCTCTAACCTCTCCTCCACTCTACACCCCCCCTCTCATCCTGGGCTCTATACCTCGGAGACAGCAGCCTGATGGCCTCCAGACTCTCAAACAGACCTAACCCAGGTTGACTAGCTGCCCCAGACCTTCACTCTGGCTATGAGTACAACGACTATGGAGGGGGATCTGTGAATATGGAGATCAAAAACCACAGCGTGTGTGAAAAACAACTTTTTTTTTTTTCCTTAAGGCTACAGACTTTCCTTTGACTTCCTGGGATATTATTTCACATCATCCTCAATGATGTTCAGCATCCATATGTCATTTTAAATGACAAACTACCTCTTCAGAAATAAAGCAAGAAAGCAAGTCTTACTCAATGAACTTAAATGAAAGGAAATGACAGGCAGGGCTGAAGACTAGTAGATGTACGTCTGCTGAACGTCCTCGATACATTTTCTCCTCTCCTTCCCACTTAAAAAGCACTTCAAGAGCGCAGAGAGACTTGTATTTATGTGTCTCGTGATAGCAGTGGAGGTCCTCCTTCCCGTCAGCTCAGCTCTGAAGGCTACAGCTTCCTGGGTCATGTAGCCAAGTGGACCAAGTGAAATTAGTACAGTGTGTAGTCTTCACTCCTGTTTTCTTCGTCTATTTGAAATGTTCCTTAGTGCAGAAAGCAGTGTCCTGACCACGCAGGGGCTGTCTGTTACGTGATGCAGTGTGTGATAGTTAAAGACTCCACACATCTGTTCCATTTTCTAGTTACTCTGAACTAGCAACTAAATATAACTTAAAATATTGTTCTGCCATCAATCAGATTCTTGACTTGATGGTGATAGTGGACTGAGTTGGAGGGTTTGTATATTATATATACTGTGAGAAAATAAGTATTTAGGTGGCTATAAGAGGGTGGGATATGCATTTAAGTTTTCTGCCTGAAAATGTATTTGTGATATTTTCAGTCCAACTTTACGGTGGCCGACACGTTACAACGGACCGAAACACGCGCTGCAGTTTCAAAACGATGCAAATGGAGAAACGTTTGACAACACATGCACAGCATTAAGAAATCAATCACAAACTAGACAAAACTTGCGCAGCGTTCACTAAAAGTGCTGCAAGCGACTAAAAACAGCTTCACCAACATTTAGAAAACATTCACCAATTTGATGACACAAGCGCTGCATCAATAATTGTCTCACATAACTGTCACTGTCTCTGAAAACGTACATCAAATGTACGTTTTATTGGCTTATTTTAACATTATGATCACATAATTCCTTCAGATATTAGCCTATTCCTTTCAAATATACTGACCAACCATACTTGCCAACCCTCCCGATTTTCGCGGGAGACTCCCGATTTCATAGCCCTCTCCCGGTTTCCTCCCGGGGTCACATTTCTCCCGCATTTCTGACAAAATCAGATTTACTCAGGACTGTTTCCACTCGGACTTTAATACAGCTACACCATTGTTTGGTTTCCATGGTAGCGCGTCTCTTTAGCAGCGTGCGCAACTGAAAGTCTGAGAGGGTGAGGAAGATAGTCACAGCAAACAGAACAAGAATCCTCTGCTCACTCCTTTCCTGTAAAATACAGGTCCAGCCCACACATGCTCCATCAAGGATGGTGCTCCAGGCCGCAAGGCAGTGCACTTACTACTACAATAAGCATGTGACCTCACCGTGGTGGTGAGGTCACAAGGTTGGCAAGTATGTGACCAACACTTACTATTATGAAAGGCTAACTCTGCGATAGTTGACCAACTTTATAATCCCTGAACGTCAACAAGTGCTCCGGTCCCAGCTGTGTGCGTCACTTTTTAGTGTCCCCGTTTCCGTTGTGTTTTGAGCTTCTTGCAGCGTTTTGTATTGGCAGCGTTTTCGTCTATGCAGTGTGTTTGTGTTTATATTTGAATCGTTTCTGAAGCGCGTTTTCCTCATGGAAATGTTTTTGGCCGTTGTAGCTCGTTTGCACCTGTCGGCCACCATACGAATATCTTCTCCGTTATGTGCCCTTTTCAGGATTCACCCTTTACAGTTTATTTTTATTTCAGGAGGTTCGTTTCCTCTTAATCCTGAGGCTTTGGTTTTTTTATTTTCATGTAATTGATTTGTTGGTTTCGACTACAGTGTTTCCATCTGTAGACTCAGTGATTTGAGCGTTGGATATGAGCACACTGGCAGCACTCATCAGTGGATAACATTAAATGACTTAACTGTGAAATGAAACGGAAAATATTTGTAATGCAGAAATGACATCAAGCACATTTAATCGTGTATAGTTTTCTAATAATTCTGGTTTGTATGATTGTGTATAATTATTTTGTAGTGTTTTTATTTTCTCCTGAAAGTGTGTGTCCTTGTATAGGAGATAAATACTATCTGCAGAACAGGCTGGGGTTTGAGACCTTGACAGCACACAGACATCAGAGAAGTGTTGTGGGGCCTCACAACGCCTGTGTCGGCCAATCAGTGGCCCCTGAACACATCATCCATGGCGACAGACAGCTTACTGACTTTGTGTCGGGGCCTGAACACAGCTGATCACAGGTCTGATCTCTTGCTCTTCTTGTGGATGCATACTTATATTGTAAAACAAGAATGATTTAAATTATTCTATTGATAAAAACCTTGTACTTTTAAATGTATTATAAACTTAAAACTGCCTTTTTAGATTAGATTCAACTTTATTGTCATTGCACAGACAACCAAATGCATTTAGCATCTAACCAGAGTGCAAAACAAGTAGTAAAGTGCAGGGATCTGTGGTGGTCTAGCATAATATAACAGATAACAACTGAAGTAGAAAGTGAATACACTATAGATCAGTTATAAATAAGACTATGATACAGAATACATATGAATTTCGTTTTGTTTTTACATTTCAATTCATTTAGCTGACGTTTTTGCAATGATCCATAAAACCCCAGATATATGTGCTTCAAATAAGCCTAACCACTGTAAGTGCTGGTGCATTAGCTTCAAACGGGCTCATCTCTTTAAGTGCTATTTTTTGTGTTGAATTAAATGTCCAAGGTACCAGGTGGGTTTTTTAGTTGTAGGATGGGACAAGAGCCTGGACCAGTGTTGCCCTCTGGGTCCGTTCTGGATGTTCCTCCTCATGTTATTAGAGTGTATCTACAGGAGCGGGTTGAAGCAGCGATGTTAGCAGTAACGGACAACTGCTCGTCCAATGTCACACCCAGATTGATGCAGTCTGAGTCAGGGGGACAACACCTGGGTTTCAGACCGGGGAAAATACAGAATCGGTTGTGTACATAATTAGGTATCCTCAATCCAATACATTTGGTCAAAACCTCCAAAATAAAGCTTGGGTTTATTGGATTCACCATATATAAATGATTTGAGTTTGGTTACCGACTTTAACCAATAAGCCTCTCTCATTCAAGTTTTTCTGAAATACCACAAAACTAAGAGGCTGGATTAGACAACCATGTAAACAACGCAACCAACTAAACACTTTTGTTGAATATGACTAATGTTAAAGCATGAAACTCACACCCACAGAGCATGGTGTTATAAGATGGGTAAACATCTACAGAGCCAGGGTTTCCTTTCTTTAGCTTGCTCGACAAAACCTGAAACCCTCCCCAGAGATAACGGATACCACAGCGGTTCTCAAGTGTCTCTGTTCAGCCAGGCTTCCACCCTCAGGCTCTGATGAGACAAGGGGGAAGTTTGGTGTGTCATTTTACTCATTTAATGCACAAAAGGGAACGATCGCTGCCACCTACCCACTTATAAGAATATGAAAATATTATGACACAAGGCAACTTGTAGCTGCAAATAAGAGAGAAATGCTGGATGAAGTGTACTGATCATGCACATATTTAAGAATTGCATCTAGGTCAGTGTCCTCTAATGAAGGGGATGTACAACATCACTTTAGTCTTAGAAACTGGAATGCCCATCTAAATGCATGATGCGCCCCCCCCTTCCTATGTTTGTATTTTGTGTTGAGTTCAGTGCTGGGGATTTCCAGTGTGGATGCAACTCGGTGAATTATCATGAGACTGCTCAACCTGTCTAACCACAGTTATCTTCATCAACGATTCCATTGTTTGAAATAGTTGTGTAGTGTATGAGGCACTTCAATAAATGTTGTCTCCATCAAAATGACATTTAAGGGCAGCTCTAGACCATGATCACCCTGTCATTGGTATTTTTTTCTGTTAATGAAATTAAAATGATTGTATTATTATTTCTTATTGCTTTCGCTGAGAAAAAAATAGTCAGTTCCACTGTGTACCAGCGACTGGAACTGCAGCAACGAAACACGGCAGCACTGATCAAGGTTTTCTGTGACTGTCCAAGTCTGTTCACATTTGACTTTTGACTAATTCTAAAAGTGACTGTGTATAATAGACTGTGTATAATGTAATAGACATTCCTCTTTTTCTTTGTTAAAGGTATTGGTAGTTCTGTTAGATTTTGTCTAAAAAAAGAGTCTTTGAGCATTAAGAGGGAGTACTCCTCCTCCGAAACTCAAACTCAATTCGACATCTGATTCTAGGAAATGATATTATTTACTACTTTGTGTTTTACCATGTTTCATTACATGCCCACAGAACAGTCAAAATGTCCCCTAGTACAATACATAACAAACATTTGAGCCCTGCAATGTACGAGCTATTTATTATTTTTGTCATTTAATGTGGGTTTTTTTTTTTTCAACTCAAACATTACTACTCCCGCCCTGCTTATACACATGGTCTGTCAATTCACAAAGAGTTATTGATGTAAACAAAAGAAGATGTGGGCACAACACTCACAGTGGATCATACTGCATCTTTCTTCTTTCCCTGCAACTGTACACCAGCCAGGGGCATGCTGGGTAGTGGAATAGCTTTTGATTAGCTTATCTCAGCGCCATGTAGAGAGAAGAGTTGTGACAGCGGAAGTCCAAAATGCTTGATCGTCACGTGGTTCAGGGAGACTCAATAGTTCCCCGGAAGTTCGTGGCGGGCCATTTGAATGCCTAAATAACAGGATAGAAATGCAAGTTTTGGTAATTAGTGGTCAATAAAGGTTTTGATTTGCAATATTTATACAACATATCGATATGTGTGTAGTTACATCAATGTGTTTTGTTTTTTTTAAAGTAAAATGTGCTAATATTTGAGGATTAAGATAAAAAAAGAAGTACTTATTGATACCAATTGGGGAAATGTTTACACTGCAGCAGCAAAAGACAAGGCATTGTACATTAGACAGTTAAAAGACTAAAATTAAACAATCGAAATTGTAAACATCTTAAATAGAAATAAAATAGCATTACAAAAAGTAGAAAATAGACAGTGTGAACAGCTCTCTTACCTGTTAACATATACAGTTGCAAGAAAAAGTATGTGAACCCTTTGGATTCTCCACACATAGCGTTGTGTGTTCCTTCCAAACAACTCAATTTTGGTTTCATCTGTCCACAGAATATTTTGCCAGTAGTGCTGTGGAACATCCAGGTGCTCTTTTGCAAACTTCAAACGTGCAGCAATGTTTTTTCTGGACAGCAGTGGCTTCCTCCGTGGTGTCCTCCCATGAACTCCATTCTTGTTCAGTGTTTTACGTATCGTAGATTCGTCAACAGAGATGTTAGCATGTGCCAGAGATTTCTTTACGTCTCTAGCCGACACTCTAGGATTCTTCTTCACCTCATTGAGCATTCTGCGCTGTGCTCTTGCAGTCATCTTTACAGGACGGCCACTCCTAGGGAGAGTAGCAACAGTGCTGAACTTTCTCCATTTATAGACAATTTGTCTTACTGATGAACATCAAGGCTTTTAGAGATACTTTTGTAACCCTTTCCAGCTTTATGCAAGTCAACAATTCTTAATGGTAGGTCTTCTGAGAGCTCTTTTGTGCGAGGCATGGTTCACATCTGGCAATTCTTCTTAAGAATAGCTAATTCAAAACTGGTGTGTATTTTGTATAGGGCAGGGCAGCTTTAACCAACACCTCCAATCTCGTCTCATTGATTGGACTCCAGGTTGTCTGACTCCTGACTCCAATTAGCTCTTGAATAAGTCTTTAACCTAGGGGTTCACATACTTTTCCCACCCTGCACTGTGAATGTCTACATGGTGTGTTCAATAAAAACATGAAAACATATAATTGTTTGTGTGGTATTAGTTTAAGCAGACTGTGTTTGTCTATTGTTGTGACTTAGATGAAGATCAGAACACATTTTATGACCCACTTGTGCAGAAATCCAGGTCATTCCAAAGGGTTCACATACTTTTTCTTGCAACTGTACATGTTAGGCTAACATTGCCTTGGTTAAAGAGCCTGTTGTTTATCGCTTTGAATTCTTTAAAACAAATATTATCTTCTTAAACCTGTATGGTAGTCAGGAGCATCACATCCTAATGTTTATTGATATATTTAGAGGGAGGGGAAGGAAGGTTTCAAAATTCTGATTAGATACATTTCTACCATTTCTTTAATTCATGGTGGTTTCAGTAATCCCATGGTAATTGAGGACCTAATCTAAATGACTAATGTCATCTTTATGGCTTTCAGAAAGGACAGGAGACCCACAGGTGCCTATCAATGATTGTCAACTGACAGCACAATGAGTCAAAGGACTAGCAGCAGCAGCAGCATGATGAAGTTGTTGAATGTGTTGTTTTTGGAACATCCATTGTAAATAAATGGAATTCAATAAACATTGAATAGCATGTCATGCAATTTGTCTGTGCCTTTTCCTCTGTGTTGAATGAATTAAACATGTGCCTCGGAAATAATTGTTTACATTAATGGTGACCAAAACGTTTGAGACCCACTGAGATAACACTGAGAGAGTCCTTTAGCTCACTGAGTCTCTCAGTCTGACAGGAGAGGACTCTCCTCCACTTTGTTGTTGAAAAAACTCCTTATATCCGTTGGCGTAGCTCGCTAGTACCAGAAGCTAACAACAACGATCTCCGGTACCGGTGCGCTCTCTCTCGCGCGCGCACGCACACAAAATGGCTCGTTCCACACACACACACAGAGCCGAGCTTTAATGAAACACAGAGACCCAGGCGTAATAGTACTGTACTGTATCATATTATTTTCAAATCAATAATTTTTCAAAATATGATTTATTTATTTTTTAATAACCATTTTTCCTCCTGGTCTCTCGCGCCCACCCCTGTAATGCCTCTGCGCGGCAAATTTAAGGCAGGCAAATTTAACTTCTGTTTATTACGGCCTGTACACACAGCAGCTTTTGGCGATTTGTCCACCGCTTCCAGCGCGTCTCCGCCCATTGACTTTGAATGGGGATGACGTCACTTTCCCTCGCTTGTCGCCGAACTGCATTGTGGGGGGGCGAGGCGAAGATTTCCAGGATTTCCAGGATGTTCAGGATTCCAAAGTTGAACAATGTTCAACTTTTGAGGCTGAGCTGGAAGCGACAGCCAATCAGATCCGTTTATGCAAATCTGACAGTTCAAGCGCTAGCCAATCAAACCGCGTGCAAGCTGGGAGAACCAGACCGCAGTTCATTCTATATTCCTAACAAAAATGGAGGAGAAGTTAGTTATTGCGGGTAGCAAATCACCCGGTTCTTTATGACCAGTCCCTATTTACTTACCGGGATACAAACCGGAGGAACCAGGCATGGAGGGAGGTGGCAGAGGCAGTGGGTGAAACTGGTAGGTTTTCGCTTGTTTGGGGATTTTATATCCAGTTTACTTGGTTGCTAGTTTACTTCGTTGCTAGCAAGCATAGACAGTATCATTAGCCAGCTTGGAATGTAGCATAAAATAGCACCATAAACATTAATCTCATAAATGTTCAAAATGTTAAAAAAAATAAATGTTCATCATAGCCTTCCTATTTGACAATAGTGTAGAAGAACCGGGTTTTTTTGCTTTGTATGTCGGGGGCGGGATATTCATGTGATATTCATGTGATTGGTTGTTGGTCGTGAAATCCCCAAGCTGTCAGACACGCCCAGCTCCAGGATTTTCAAGATTTGGTCAAAGCTGCTGTGTGGACACACCGTAGACTTCTGTTAGACAGCCATATGCTATACATTTTTTCATACATTCACAGTAAATATTTATTCAGTATGATAGCTGTCTAACAGAAGTTAAATCCATTTCTCACTTATTCTGACAATGTACTTAACCCCAAATAAAAGAACCCAATAAAAAGAGTTGTTAAATAATAGTGAAGTCACGTTGTAATAACAATAACTCATCTCTCTTGAGTTTTCTTTTTGAGCTTTGCTAAAAGCCACTGTGTCAAGTGTCCTTCTTGGGTTGCCGTCCGGAGTTGTCCAATATGGCGGACCATCTCGCACATGCGCAGTACCGATCGGGCAGGGGGACGGATCGTGTAGTGACAGTTGTAACTCTTCTATTATATGGCTCTGGCTTATCTTCTCGTGCTGCACTCACTTTGACCTTGGTGCCGTTCGCTTCACTAAATCCATTTTCCTTTGCTTCCTTTTGACATCATGCTCCAGCAGTAATAAAGGAAAGAAAGACCTCAACATAGTAACTGGCATTCATTAATGAGCACTTTTACTCTTCGTAATATTTTAATGTAAGAAACAGGTGAGCATTTCTTGATGACTGCATTTTTACCAAACTTTATAAAAAAACTGTGGGTCAAAACATGAGATGGCTTGAGTCTCAAAAATAGATTAAGTGCTACTTAGAAAAGAATAGTGAAATATAAGGTTTTTCTGTTCACCTGTTTGGTTTACAGCCAGCCTCAGACTCAATAGTCAGTGGCCAGAGATTTGTACTGAGTGTATTTTTGACCATGTGCTGTCCACAAACAGTGACGACTTTCATCACAGCCATGTTTTTATTCAAATACTTTATTTAAACAAATCACACAGATGCAAATAGAAAAGCTTGGAAACCCCTGCCATAAGCATTTAACCTGTGCCGTACTGTTCTCATTGTTGAACATATCCCTGAGCATCAGTGACAATAGATTACACAATTCTGGAATGTCAGCTCACTTATATCCCGTTACAGCGTAAGCCTCGGAGCAGGCAGAGGTTTACATTCCTCGAGTTTCTGTTGTGCTCTTTTTCAGTCATTGGAATCTGGTCTGGGGGGGGGGGGTGTTTTTGGTGTAACAAGTTGAGACCCTGGGTGTTTCTCAATCGCGAGTAAAGCTGCTCCAGAGCCACTATTTCAAGCATACTACATCATCGAGTGCCGCCGAAGTACTGTTCCAATGTCCAGCATACTTGAAAATCTACCGACCCCGGCGTACTTCGTTTGGAGACATTTCGAGGCTGCACATGTGTAGATTCCGCGGTCTTAAAATCCCCACAATGCTTTGCACGGACCAATTTCCCCAAATCTGTGGCGGAAAATGTAAGGCGGGGCCTCTCATATGGTGCACACTTGCTAGCCTCTTCCACTCTTTGGCCCAATCCCAAACTGCCCCCTACACTCTACCCAACGCCATATAGATGCCTCTTCAAGGGCAGCTCCAGGCCATGATCACCATTATGCGCGGGCCGCTAGTGTCTGTTGACCTCCAGATTAACAGCAGCATGAGAATAACCTGCCGAAAGTGCCGATGCTCCATGGCGGAGGCTCCGGTAAAAATTGCCGGGATTTGCGTTTTTACCCCTTAATGTCTGCCAATGGTTGAACAGCATTTCCGTGCACATGACTTGTGTTTAAAGTTTATAGTCTGTTTGAGTTTTGCCTGTGTGAACCCAAACCGAACCTTCTGAAAAATGAAACAATGTAACAAATCGCATTTTCTATGCCCAACATGTTTCATTGCGTGCTCAGGATAGAGGCACACATATAACGCCATATAAATGCACCCTTACAAACTGTCGTCTGGCGCGCACCAGAGAAGCGGACTATTAGGTTTGAATGATACCTTAGAACGTGTTGCACCTAAATAAATAATTAAAATGAACCTTGTTTTGACTTTGACTCTTTTGTTGATATTTGTGGTTTATGCTACAATGTGCACCAATATGTGTAAAAAAGGTTTGCAGACATCAAGTATGATATATGAATACACATGTTATTATTGATTGGTGATGGTGGTTTTGTGTTCTCCACAAATCTAACAATGAATATTAAAATAGTATTCCACAGGTTTTCTGAGGGATGAAAACAAATGTTTGTTGTCCACAGCTGATGTTAAATTGACCAGACTACTTCTACGGAATAATATGACTGCACATACTGTAGTCCCTTGACCAGAGCGTCCTCCTTAGCAACGGTCTGCTATCCTTAGCAACGGTCTGCTAGAAAATAATAGCAGACCTATTGAATGTCCCGATTGACAAATCAGAATTGGGTATTCAACTAACTGTAATAAGAAACGGTGTGACCTGTTTTACATAAATGCTTTTGCAAATAAATGATATTAACAAACATATACAAATTATTACATTATATAAAGTATTTAAATATGTTAACTTTATGATACAACTTGTAAATAATACAATTCAATAAAACTATTTCTGAAAACCCATTAGGACAGTTTATATGCTGTTGCTTCTTTCGCGGCAGTGTCGTGTGATTGACCCTCTGTGCAGACTTGGGCAAGTAACCCCTTCTCTGCAGTTTGTCACCACAGACACAGAGACAACATCTGTGGTTTTATTGGAGTACTCATATAGTTTCTTCCTAAAAGCAGTATTCGTGTTCTGTTCCTTCTTAAAAAGAATTATGTAGCACTTTGGGAAGAAATGACAGCAGAGGATGCCATAGTTGGAGATGAGGATGACCACCATCTCCACAGCCGGCAGGTAGACTCCTGAAGTGGTGATGTAGACGGGAACGAAGAGCAGCCAGGAGATGAGGTAGAGCAGCATGCTGAAGGTGATGAACTTGGCCTCGTTGTACAGGTGTGGCAGTTTGCGACCTTTGAAGGCGCAGATGAAACACACGAACGCCAGGACAGCTATGTAGCCCAACATCACCCCGAAGGCCAAATACGAGCCCTCGTGACAGGCCTCCAGCAGAGTGGTTGGATTATTGACGATGTGGTTATATGGGCTTTTGAGGACCAGCCAGCAGATGCAGGTAACTGCTTGTAAGCTCACACAGATGGCGACGATGATGTACGGCTTGTACAGCCCCCGCAGAACCTCATGCAGCTCGGGGTTGAACTGGAAGGCGAGCAGGATGTGCAGCGTCTTCACCAGGATGCAGGACACACACAGAGTGAAGCTGACGCCAAACAGCACCTGTCGAGCCTTACACTGGAGACTGTTGGGCCGGCCGACAAACAGCATGGCACTGATGTTACTGATGACGAGAGAGAACAGGATAACCTGGCTCAGTGGCCCTCCGGCAGCCTTCACTACAGGAGTGTCCTGCTGTTGTAGAAACAGAGCGGACACCAGCAGATTCTGGATGACGCCCAGGGCAGAGAAGGTCAGGAGAACCATGGCGAAGGGGTCCTGCCAGGAGAAGAAGAGCCGGTCCTTAGGGAGGCAGCTGGAGGTGCCCTCAGGAGACCATTCTGTGACTGGGTCACAGCTCAGACACTGGGCCATGTCTGCAGGAACACACAGGAAGAGCAAGGGAGCTGAATGCAACTCAACTATTGTTTTAGTCTTTAAGATCTTATCAAAAGACTTCATCTGTTTCTGTATTTTAAATGTTGATGTCTAAAAAGGGTTGTAAGGACACGTTTTTTGGAGCCATCTTTCTGTTGTTGTTTTTTTATACTGGCTATTAGGTGGAAGAAGTACTAAGATCTTGTACTTCTGTACCAGAGTGTAGGAATACTCTGTTAAAAGTAAAAGTCCTGCAATCTAAATGTTACTAAAGTAAAAGTACAACATATATTTAAAGGGGACCTATCATGCAAAATGCACTTTTGTACATCTTTTATACATGAATATGTGTCCCCGGTGTGTCAGGGAACTCACCAAGTGTCAGAAAACACAACCCTCTCTTTTTTCCTCCATACCCAAATCTCTAAAAACGGGGCTGCAACAGATCTGATACAGACTGATACAGATTTGAAATTGTTCTGGCGTCAGAAACGGGGTGCTCCGCCTATATGGCCAACTCTCCACCTATCAGGGGAATGAGAGGTTGCGTGGCAAGGTAACAGCATGGTAACAGCATGGTAACAGCATGGTAACATGACGCTCGTGCCTCACCCCCCTCCTTTGCAGGGGGGCGTGGTCAGCTGCAGCTCATTTGCCACAGAATCAGCCCTTGTGAAGACAGGGCTGGAATAGAGCAAATAGAGCGAAATGAGGCATGGCTAAAATGCATGATCTGTTTGGTATTTTGAAAAAATAACTTCACAGACATGTTTTATATAGGTATGGCCCTACAATATATTATTCAAATATAGCATGATAGGTCCACTTTGAAGTACCAAAAGAAAAACTACTATTAAACTACTATACTACTATTATGCAAATTGGTCAATTTCAGAATAATATATATGATATGTTTTATAATGATTGATCATGAAAGTGTTCTCAAAGCTGGTAAAGGTGCAGCTAGTTTGAATGACTTTGTATACTGCAGGGTAGCTTGTGAATTTACTCCAGGTGGAACTAAAGTCTGATTTAACACTTGATTATATTTCACATCATTCATCCAAATCTGCAGAGTAACTAAAGGTATTAAATAAATGTAGTGGAGTAAAAGTACGCCATTAACTTCTGAATTGTAATGGGGTAGAAGTACAAAGTAGCAAAACATAGAAATACTCAAGTAAAGTACAAGTTTCTCAAAATTGTACTTACAGTAAGTACAGTACTTGAGTACATCTACTTAGTTATTTTACACCACTGGTAATTAATACATATATTCCCCAAGTTGTCATGTCAGTCTATCAAAAGTAAGATCTTAGTGAAAATGTGGCAGTAGGAAACGGCTTATGCCACAATGAGCGCACCAAGTGAAGATAGTCAGACAGGCTATGGTCAGTACTCGAGTTGAGGGGGGATGAGGGGGAATGGCATCCCCCCTGAAATAAAAACGGTCAAAATCATCCCCCTTCTAAAACTGCCATTCCCCCTTTCCATCACTTATGTAATTTTATCAATGAACGTGGCACTGGTATTACTGCTATTTCAACATAAATTTTGCGCATTTTGAGTAAAATACTGTGGACGAGGGAGCACGCACACACGCAATGATATGTTTACCAAGCCAGAGCGCCGTGATGCGCCTGTTTGATCGATGCCAGAAGCGCAGGTAACGGTCATCACAATGGCCAAGCGACCAGGAGGACAACGCGATCTGAGGGACTTCATATTTAAAAATACTAAAAATAACATTTCAGGTAAGTCAAGAGTCAGTAATCTTAGTCATTACTCATTACTTTACTCACCAAAGGTGGAATCTATGGACATAAGCAGCAATAACAACTTAGTTTGGAGTTTAGCTACGTTTTTCTCTCGTGTTAGCTAGCTGGTAAGACTCAAAACTGTTGATGAAATGATACCACCAGCACCAGAAGAGCTGAAACCCCTCCTTCAAGCAGTGAACACTCTGGTCATCTCCACAGCTGAGTGTGAACATGGGTTTAGTCAGATGAACATTTGAACCACAACTAGAAGTTCCCTAGAGGTAAAAAGCATGTCAGCCTTGCTTTTCATCAAGTGTGTTGGCCCTCCACTGAACAAGTTCAGACCAGAGGTATATGTCAAGACTTGGCTTCAAAGCCATTGCTTAGCTAACAATCCGAAAGCAAGAGCCAGAAAAATGTAGACCAAAAAGCATGATTATGAACATCTTTGTAAACTTCTATGAGATGGGGGAGAGTGGAGTAGGCAGCCATTGACAACATTGGTCCTATTTTGTATTATCTGTATAATCTTTTAATATATTTTCATATTTTGTAAACAATTTCAATTTACACGTAATGCCCTGTTAAAAAAAGTAACATTGGGAATGTTAACATCAAATATTTGTATTTGAACTGCAATAAAATGATGACGGATCAATTTTTTTCTAATTTTTTTCCTCACATTTTTTATGAAGTGTTAATTTACATAATTATTTAATTAATTACGATACAAATGTAACCCTTTAGATACCAGCTTTGATCGTATACCAGTAACTGCTTTTTTGAAAAAATACACTAATTCAATATTCTAAAAACAAATTTGACTTTATTATTAGTATAATCAGTTGATCCATCTGAATAATAAATGAGGGACTGTTAACCTACAAGATTTGTACCAGACTTCCATTATAACCACATTTGTGTATCCCCTCCCCCCCTTTAAATTAAAGTGAAAAAAAGATTTTGCACTAATTGTCCTCTGCATTTGACCCTAAATGTTAGTGGTGCCATGGCAGCCCGGGGACCGACTATAATTCTGAGGTGCCTTGGTCAAGAGCAATGAAAGGAGTATCTGAACATCCATAACATGCATGTTGTTTTAGGAGTATAATAATGATCTTTATGCTGGTTGGTCTCCCACCCTCTGCGGGTTATCAGCACAAATGATGTCCCCATATGATAAAATCCACCATCCCCCCTGATTTGTTTTACAACTTGAGTACTGGCTATGGTGGCTATGCTAACATGGCGCTATGTTGCCAAACTTTGTCAATTAAAACTAAAGACTCATGGGTAAATATGCATCATGGGATGTTATTTGTGCGACAGTCAGAAAGTGGATTAATGTTTTTATAGCGGCAACATGAGCACAGCTCCAACGCAGTCTGCCATTGTTGCTGATGTAACAGGCACTTACAGGAATGCACTAAGCTCCTGAGTTTCGTGGTTGAAGTGGGATTACACCTGAATACCATGTACAGTGAGCTCATTATATGTTTGCCAAAACACGTTTATTCCAGGTGAAATAGGGCCTATTACTCTTTGTGCATGTAAATAAATGTGTGAGTGTGAAGGGGAATGTCTTGCCTGTGTCATTAGAGTAGTAGTTTGCAGAACAGATGGCACACTCGTAACAGCAGGTGTGTGGACCCTTGGTGGTTTTCTTTGACTCCCCAGGGACACAGCTTTTGGAGCATTTGGAGATGATGTGCTGAGGAAAGCAGGGAGACACAATTATCCTAACATTGTTTTTGACTTTACATATTATGTCTTTAAATTAGTTCTATTGTATTGTTTTACTGAAGGTTGCATTACCATATGGTTGTACTAAAAACCAGTTTTCTGTATCGCTTGAATCAGCATAGATGGTCTGACTGTGTGTAGTAAACACACACTGCAGCATGTGGGGGTCATGTGCAAAATAACTGCCATATGAAGGGCCTACCTTCAGAGCATTGAGCTGTTGGGTGGTGCTGTGGTTGCTGTGGGTGAAGCTGTTGTTGTGCGGGTGATACTCAGCCACGACATTCTGGACGTGGATGTTCTCTCCGTCTGACCTCCACATGGTCACGTCGTAGCCCAGGTTGATGTCTCCGCTGCTGTCAAACTTAAAGCTCTTGTCTCTCAGTTTAAACTCCTCCATCCACATAGCTTTCAGCAACTACAGGATAAGAGACATTTCATTATCCAATAGTATCTTTGATCACTCGATTAAACCACACAATTTGAAGGAACATGTTGTCTTGTATTAACTTGTAATACAAGTTACTATTCATTAGTCATTTTGTATCAAGGCCACATTCCAAGTTCTTAACCTTAAATGCTGCATAGTGTTCTATCGCAAATAGATGATTTTTCCACAGAACACAGCTGGGATCGGAGCCTTTGTTGATGGCTGGGGAGGACTAATAAGATGTCAATGTCACTGCTGGGCTTATTTTAACAATGTGATCTCATGATTCCTTCTGATATTATTGCAGAACTGCTATTAGCTAGCTAGCTACAGTTGCCAACAAAAAGTAATGAAGCAAAAGTATAAGTTATCACAATGTACTTTAATTGTTTACTAAAGTACAATATTTGAGTAAATGTACTAAGTTACTTTACACCACTGAGCCTGTTTGCACCTGTCGGCCACCGTACTTCTTCCCTCTCTGGAACGGCCTCATGTGGACCTTACAGATTGTATGATTACCTCCCAGGGCTGCACTGTGCCGGGGGTTCTGCAGTCTCTGTTCCTGCAGACTGAGACCAGGGCTTGAGCGATGGCGCTCACAGCCATCTCCACACTGAAGATAGTGCTGGCATGAGTGTGTTCTCTGAGGGTTTCCACAGCCTTAGACACCAGCTCAGTGTCTCCATAACCTTCACTAGCATTCAGCTGCGTGTAGAACTCCTGCAGGAAGACGTTATCCCCTGTATCGTCATGTCCAGCTGCCTCCAGTCTGCTCAGGTACTCATTGAACGACGATAGGTCTCCACTTTTGAAGGTGAAGCCCAGAACATGTCCCATGTCCTCCAGATGTATGTTTTCCTTCACGGAGCTGGAGGAGGACCAGCTGTCACTGGCCACCCAGACTCTTCTCATGGATTCCCTGTCCCGTCCTCCTCTCAGCATCTGGTTCTTAAGCTCCTGGTAGAGGTACACCATGAGAGTGGGCTTAGCAAATGACACGATCACCTGAGCCTCAGGATTCTCAAAGATGGTCCTGGCAGTCTGAGTGATAGCAGACCGGACGTCCTGACTGCCCACTGCCTGAGGTATGATGGATTTGAAGGCCACACAGATCCCATTTTTGGAAGCCTGGGACACAAAGTTCTCAAGAGCTGATTGGCCGTAATTCCCATCAGTGATTACTACCCCCACCCAGGTCCAGCCGTAGGTGCTGAGCAGACTGACCATGGCAGCGGTCTGGTGCCTGTCATTAGGAATGGTCCTCATGAAGGCAGGGAATCGCCTCTTATCACTCAGAGTGACAGCAGTGGATGAATAACTGATCTGGAGAAGAGAAAAAAAACAGTAATGTTCATTTCAAAGATGTGTCATTTAATTTGAAAGGCCACTTCAAAATGTATGTGGATGCCTACAATGCAGGCTTGAGGAGTAATTCATTACATGTAACTGGATTACGTAATCAGGATACAAAAAAGCCAAATGTATTCCCTTACGGCCCGTCCACACGGCGGCGTGCGTTGTCGCTTGCCAGCGGGCATGTCTGAAGCTAGACCAACAACCAATCACCTGAATCTCCGGCCCCGGACACACAAGCAGCGGTTTGATTGGCTAGACGCTAGAGCTTGTACTGGCATATGATTCGATTGGCTGATGCTTCCGTCGAAGCTTCAAAAGTTGAACATTGCTCAACTTTTGTAGCGAGCACCGCGAGAAAAGCTACGCTTTGCTCCCACAATGCAGTTGGGCGATGCGTGACGTCACCCCATTCAAAGTGAATGGGCAGAAGCGTTGAAGCTTCAACGCACGCCGCTGTGTGGACGGGCCGTTACAGTTACATAAAAAAAGACCTAATCAGATTAGTGTTATAATTTTCCAAAAACAAGGGATTACTAGCAGGATAACAATGTGAGTAAAAACCTAAACAGATCATATAGAGTTTGTTGTAAAAGGATCAGATGTTATCTCTTCTCTGTAAACTGTACTGTTCTGTAGGCTGATACTTTAAGTGTGAATCTATACGCCTACTGCCTGAAAATCCTCTTTATATCATTGATATTTATTTTCTGTTTTATTTATTTATTTGCTTTGCATTTAATGCAGAAAATAATCTGCTCACTTCAAAAAATGTATAAGGTAACTACTAACTGTAACAGAATACATTTTTAAAGTTATCCCCCCAACCCTGCTCACCTGAGGGATCATCTCGAGGGTCAGTTGCCTGGCGATGGCGATGGATCCTTCAGAGTTAGAGGCCCCCACAACAGCCAGGACGGGGGGGCCACAGCTGGTGGTCCCGGGGCAGTGGCTCCGCTCGATGAAGTGTGCCGTGGCTCTCAGAGCGGTGCTGACATCAGCGCAGGAGTCCAGGATGTGGTAACCCAGGGTGACGTTCACATCAGCCAGCAGCGGGGATCTGTTCACCTTCTCCACAGCGTTGATCATAGCCAGCATCCTCACCAGACCTCTTGCTTCCAACCTGTGGGATAGAACAGTCAAATAACAAATAAACATGGTATATTCTGGAGAGCTGAAATGAGACATGCAAGGAGGGACAGGAAGGAAGTTATTACAATTTCAAGAATATGACTTTATGATGGATTAAAGAGGACATTCTGCTCATTTTCAGGTTCATTATGTGTATGTTGTACCACTACTGCGACATGTCTCCATGCTTTAATGTTCAAAAAGCTCTTTATGTTTCTCATACTGCCTGTGCTGCAACACCTCTTGTCACCCTCTGTCTGAAACCAGAGCCCAGTCTGCTCTGATTGGTTAGCTGGCCGGCTCTGTTGTGATTGGTCAACCGCTTAGATGTCCAGCCTCTTAACTTATCACGTACAATTTGTGAGTGGCTCAGCATAACTATTTTACCGCTTACAAACTTATTTTTAAGTTCATGTAAAATAATTGTTACATTAATTCAACGTTCAGTTTTTGTGGCCCTAAAGTGTGAAGGTTATTGATGGAATTTAAAATGAATATTTAAACACACATACATCTATAATTTGGATCTCTATTATGATTCCTTTCCTAAGTGTTCTTTAATATTATTTGTCTGTTACCATTTTAATCCTTACAATTTCATACCTTCATGTTTCAGTATGATTGTTTTCACGTCAGAGGGGCCAATTATATTACGTGATGTAAGTCACAGGAGGAAACTCTCCCCTTATGATTCTTGGAGCAAAAAATCCACTTTTCGTGTCTTTTATACATAACCATGTGTCCCCTCTGTGTAAAGAGATTCTGAGAGTTTCAAGAAAAAAGATTCTCTCTCTTTTTGTTCTGATCCATTTATATAAAAACCTGTCAGAAAATGAAAATGAGCTGATCAGATTTGGGCCACTTTATGATGTCATAGCGATTTTTTGGCTTGTGTAACCATTAGCCAATCAGCAACCAAGGTAACCCCCCCCCCCCCCCCCCCATCTTATCACCTGAATCTCCTCCTAGAGCACCATTGAGTTCTTTGTAACCAAATCTCTCTCAGAGGGGCGTGAGGAGGGGCTCCTTACTTTCATCTAAAGTAACAGACAGAGAATCAGCACTTTTGGAACAGGGCTGAAACAGAGGGGATTATGGGATGCTGCAATGATCTGTTTGGTATTTGGAGCCAAACACTTCAGAGACATGTTTTGTATATATCTGAGACCTATAATATATTGATAAAAAACAGTATAATAGGGGACCTTTAAGTTGAAAATGATGAAGATCTCACCTGATGCATGGATGGAGGTGTGGTGCAAAGGTTCTGTTTTCTTTTTCTACATCTTCGTGAACGGCAAAGATTCCTCCGAGGATGACAGTACCTTTGGCTGTAGCTCCCAGCATGCTGCTCTCCTTCTCAGCGGCATGTCCCATTCCCAGGATAATAAGCAATATTGTGATGTGCCAACAGATTAGAAGCCAGGCCATGACACTTTTCTGCAGCGTTCTGTTTCTAAAAATGTTTTCCCTCTCCTCTCTCTAACTGGTTTTTCACCTGCAGCAGAGTGATACTCTCCTTTTAAAGCATTGTCGTCAGGCTGAAGGGACACTCCTCTTGCTTCCTCCTCACACTTAGCGTTTCTCATATTCTCCCCTGCAGCCCTGCCCACCTTATGAGTGACAGCAGGATGAGTCACTGTCTTCCAGAAGCAGGTGTATAGTTTTTGTTATGGGTGAGGAAGAATTGTTGCTGATGGAAAACACCTTACGTCTGTGCTGTGTGTCACCACAGCATTGATTTTGAACATGTAATTGATTTTAAATGTAATCTAAAGTGTCAGTTAATAGTTATATTATTTATCAGAGCCTAAGGAGGAAACCATATCTAAATCTGTAAATTAACTTAAGGTATTAAATAAATGTAGTGAAGTAAAAGTACAGGATTTACCTCAGAATTTAAAGTTTAAAGGTCCCATGTCATGGCCATTTCCACTGATCATAATTCCATTGTTGAGGTCTACTAAAATAGATTGACATTGTTCAATGTTCCAAACTCACATTGGTTTCTCATACAGCATCTCTGTATAGTATGTGTATTCACTCTCTGTCCTAAACGCCTTGTTGGAGCTCCTGCCCCCCCTCCCTATGAGCCCACTGAGTTCTGATTGGTCAGCTCGCCCACTCTGTTCTGATGAGTCCACCACCGTTACAGCGGAACATCAGTGATTATGTGTTACAATGGTGTTTGTTAGCAACCACAAAATGACACCAGTAATGACAAACAGATGAGAATGCTGCGTGGGGTCTGGGTGCCGTGTTGGCGGGACGTTGCAGGGCTCTCTGCTCCGCCCTGTGGGGCTCGAGGACCGGACAGTGTGAGCTGGATTACTGGTGTCGTTTCCTGGTTGCTGCGTGGGGTCTGCGTGCCATGCCTGCGGACACTGAGCACCGTGGAGCTCAGGCTGAGTGTGTGTGCGCGGAGCTCCGCAAATTGGTCCATTTGGACTTAGTGACGTCAATAGGCCCCGGGGGAAAAAAAATGGAAAAAGATAAATGTCCAACGAGGCGTTCTGGGGCAGCATAGACAGGTATTTTCTGTGTTAGAGTTTTACTCGTTACAGGGTGTACTTTGAGGGTTTGTGACTCTGCAGACCGTTTACATGCAGAAAAACCTTCACAACACACAAGGGGACGGGTAATAACCGGAAAAGCATATGATGGGACCTTTAAAGTGGCAGAAAAAGGAGGTACTCAAGTAAAGTACAAGTTCCTCAAAATTGTACTTCAGTACAGTACTTGAGTAAATGTACTTATTTATTTTACACTATTCGATGCAGAAAAAAAATGTATATCTTATCAGTGCTTGATCATGAGAGAGAAATGTGTGTAATGGATGAACAAACAGATAGAAGTTTAGTTTAACTCTTAACTCTTAGAACAGCAGTTTCCAGGACTAACAGTCGGTGCGCATAATTTTACGTAATTAATCATATATTTTCGATTATAAGGAGTAGAAATATGATTCAGATATCCGCGGAATCGCTGGAAGAGTAGCTTTCCAGAGGTATCTCCTGTGAGACTGTAACCAGGGCACTGCAGCCAATATGGCCGCTCAAAGCAGCTTGACTTTACACTGTGTGGGATTGGTGGATTTGTGTGTCCGTCAAGGAAATCTCGGCCGGCAGCCATCATGGTCTGAAATAACCAATGGACATCGAGAAATCACTAAGTGGCGAGCCGTCAGGGCCCTCTAGGCCCTCTGTGAGGGCCTAAGATATTCTACAAAATAATATTTAAAAACATTAAAAAAAATAATATATTTTTTTATATATTTTTTTAGTTATATTTTTCATTAGTTTTATCAAAATAACTTGATTTAATTGTATTTAAAATAACATTTCCAAAGAAACAGATGAGACTTTGTCATAGATTTATTTATATGTGCGCCTGTTATTATTTTACCGTCCTGTACAGATGAGACTTTGTAATCAGATGTAGCCTACATACGTGTGTCTGTGATTTTATACTGAATGTAAAGTAACTGGAAATACCTGTGTGTGTGTGTGTGTGTGTGTGTGTGTGTGTGTGTGTGTGTGTGTGTGTGTGTGTGTGTGTGTGTGTGAGAGAGATCGAGAGAGACTCCTTCTGCAACCTCCTAAACTTTATTTTTATGTGTGCATTGTTATTTGTGCTTGAGCAACATTTTACTTGAACTTTATTTCAATGAAATTAGTTGTAATTATTGTCCTACACATTCGGCGTTTATCCAGCAGCCACAACATCCATCTGTGCCGGCCCCAGGTCAAGATCTACTGTGGCTCAAGGGCCTTCACCAGAGCCATCACCACCAAGGACCAGCAGACCAGCATCACTACAGCTGCCTCCACCTCCATCTGCGGCTGCCACCAGGTCAAGATACACCTCAGCACAAAGGCTCCACCACAGCCATCACCTTCAACCCAGCCAGCAAGGAGGTCTCGTGGAGGTCTCGTATAGCACTTGTACACCCCACCTACACAGCAGCCAGACCCACTGTCTTGGAAGACAGACAAAGACCTTGACACTGTCTTGACATTTATAATGAATAGTTGGTTGAAAGTTCTGATGTTCAATATTGTAAATAGTTAGATTTTCCAGTTTCTTATATTTATATAAATAGTTGGTTGAAAAAAACATATTTATAATAAATTGTTGGTTGAAAAAAAAAGGTTGAATGCTCAATTTGGATTTGTACACATCACATGAACCTTGGTATGTAATATGAAGTCATTATTCAGTCCTAATGTATCTCAGTCCCTGCTGTGGTGAAAGTAGAGTGATAAACACCTGTTTTTCATAATAACACATTTATATACAGTGTAATTCAAATATGTCACTGCTTTTGTGACCCTAGGACTATGGTAACCAAATCTAAAACATCAAAACAATTCGATCACATGAGTACATTTGTGTTTTCACAAGAGTTTTGAAGATTTTACGAAAATCGGAGTCAAATTTTAAGATTTTGAGCTACTTATCTCATCAAACAGTGCTCCAAGGTGAGTAATATGCATATATAGCAAGACCAGAGATTGTCCTGAACATTTTGATATGTCACACACGGGGTGCCATGTTAGAAGAAATACATTTAAAAGGTGATTTAAGAAAACATCTAAAAATCGAGAAAATACCCTTAGACTCCAGAGGGTTAAAGATTATTATTTTTGACCCTATTCTTTTTTAGAATATGTTGTTCACAGAGTGATCATGAGAATCACAAACCAAGTTAATATCATTGATGAAAGATGGGAGAAGTTATAGAACACGAAACCTTTATAATGACCAGGTGGTAAGAACTGACAATTGATGTATGAGTATTAATGTTATATCCATTACCTAAGCTATACCTAATAAGTTATTATCAATTTGAGTTTCTTTTTTTCTTTTTTTTCTGATCTGTGCATTTTTATATAGTGATTCTATGTATCTAAGTGCATGCCTTGTAATCAAACCATTTCTTAAAATGCGAAAAAATATTAAAATGACTAATAGTTTTGAAGCTGGAGATTGCTCACAAAATTAGAGGAGGGATGAGCCTGATTGTTATTTCATGTTTTCTCACCGGATTCTCTGAGTATTTGATTTGATTCTTTTAACATGCACACTGATGTGATGCACTGTACAATAAAAGCCACTCCTCCCCATTTCCCCTGTACACTGTGATCCCCTGACCACATCCGTTGTTTTCTTTTTATCTATAAAGTCTTATTTTAGCCTCTAAAACATGCTCTTAATATTACATTTCTGGTCATGTTATCATGTGTGTTTCATCAGCTGACCTCCGGTCCGCTAGGTGGCAGCACGTCAAATATCACTGTCTGCGGCGGGAACACTTGAAAGAGAACAGGCCGGAAATAAAAGCATATCAATGACGGAAGAAAAAAAATGGAGGCGGCAGTGTTCATTCTGTCACTGGTGGACTGCTGTGCACTGATTTTCCTCTCGGTGTACTTTGTATCCTTTTCGGTTGTGTGTTTTCCGGCGGGTGTTCGCAGTGTGCGGCCTGTCGCTCCCAACGGCCCGCGGACCGCAGCTCCTGGGAATTATGTTCTGTACTTTAGAGCTAACGAGCTAACTGTTAGCTAACCGCCTTCTCACAGAGTCAGTGACAGGCTAGCCTGAACTAAGTTCACCTGGACCTGTGTCAACAGCAGAGTACCCGGATGACAAGGTGTGGTAACAAAAACCTAGTCACAAAATAAAAGTTAAAAACATTATTTTTATCTCATCATAACCATAGTGGCAGGTAAACAAAACAAATCGTTAGCTTGCTTTCGTTGCTGTCGCTATTATTGATACCACTGATGAAGATATTCTTACAATATTCCTAAAAATAATAATTAGGTTAGATCACCTACCTATATACTACTAGTTTAGATTAACATTCTATAGTAACAATGTGCATTATGTAATGGCAACTCGTCTGTGTTCTGGGCATTTAATGTTGCTGTCAAATGCATAATGATCTATGCTTTGAAGTTGCTGCAAATATATATTTAAAATCTATATCAGAACTAGCATACACTGCACATTAGATTAAGCGTTACCTCTCAATAGCAAACATGTCTGATAAACGCATCATTATCAGAATCAGAAATCCTTTACATTAAAGGTGACAGTGCAGATAAAATGGCACACCTAAAATAATAGGTAGAGATATCAACATGAAAAATCAAGACAAATAATTAGTCATCCATGGTTAAAAACAAGTGCATAAAGGTGTTAAGATGCATATAATGCATGTATTGCGCATAGTGGTGATTATTGCACTATTGCTGCGTGAAGAAGCAACCAGAATAACAATATTAGAATGCAAACAAAGGTATATTGCACAGGATTGTATTGGGTTGTGGTCTGCCAGGGGCCGTGTTGGTTTTAAAGTCTAACAGCTGCAGGAAGGAAGGACCTGCATTATCTCTCTGAGACGCAGCAGAGGCCTGGGGCCTATACTACGAATCTAGTTCAACCTATCCTGGATATGTGTTTGAGTTATCCGGTTGACTTAATCCAAAATAAACCCACTCTCGCTAAACCGTCCTACGACGCTGGCTATCAACTCGATCGCTCAAGCCAGCCGTGTCCTATCTAGTTAGGTGCGCGTTCACATGAAAGGGGTGGTATCTTGAGCATTCGACCAATCACAAACATGGAGAAGCATACTGACAGCGCAGCGTCATACTTCTTGAATGAAAAGTCAACTATAATATTAGTCAAATATGAAGAAGTCAAACTTTAAACATCCATGACTTAAACACTTTATCCAGGATCAAAGCCACATAGCTGCCCCTGTACTACGAAGCCGGATTTTCGCTTAGCGGGCTAACTTCAGGGAAAACTCTGGGTTTCCGGTCCGACGACGCTAGTTCTCTTTTTAGCGGGCTAGATCTCCATGGTAACTTATGCTGAGCGGCTAACCTGGGGCCTATACTACGAATCAGGATTTTTGTTTAGTAAGCTAACTTCAGGGATTTCCGGTCCTACGGAGCTGGTTCACTTTTTAGAGGGCTAGATAACTTACGCTGAGCGGGTAGCCTGCTCCGGAGCATGATAGGTTCCAGGATAAGAGATCAACTCAGTGAAAGCACCGCCTGCTGACCAATCAGAGCTAACTAAACTAACTCAAACATATCCAGGATATGTTGAACTAGATTCGTAGTACAGGCCCCTGGTCCGGAGCAGGTTAGGTTGCAGGCTAAAGGCACGGACACACCAGGCCAATTATCGGCGTCGGTGGGCGTCAGGCCGACGATGAGCGTCGACACGCCTTACTCAGATTGGTGTGTCCCGCACCGTCTGGTCTTTTCAGCCGGGCCGATGCCTTTTCGGCCGAAACACATTGAATCGGCAGGCAGTCGGCAAAATAAATCACTCTGATTGGCTGTTCAGCTAGCGAATCAGTGCATGAGAAGCAAAACGGAAGTGAGGGACCCAAACAAACTATTAAGAAGGCAAATCTGAGATTTCATTTGACTCCAGCTCTCGACACAGGTTCGGGAAAGCCCCATGAGCTTCTCGCTGTAGAGTGAAAATGGAACGCACACACTATTTGTTGTTTATGTCACGCAGTCTGTTCTTCTTCTCTCGGTTATCACGCAGTCTGTCTTCCGGTTGTTGCCTCTTTTGAATGACGAATACACACTACCGCCGCCTGCTGGTAAGGAGAGTTATTGCCACTCACGAATGCGCCGTTCGTACGTGCTTCTTGGCCATCGGCTGAAGTCTTTGCGGTGTGTTCCAGTGCGACACATGGCCAAGACGCAGGAGACGTGAGGCGACGCAATAGTCGGGGGTCCGTCTGTGTGAGTTCTTTGTTGTCAGATTGGTGTGTCCGGGCCTAAGAGATCAAGCCAGTGAAAGCACTGCCTGCTGACCAATCAGAGCTCCGTGTGCGGAGTTTAAAGCTATCAAGTCATATTACAGGATAAAGGAAATACAGTTTAAACTGCCGTTGCAGGAAAGACGGCCGGCAAAAATCACCGACTGTGAACGTGAACATTAATAGAATATCACCTCCATCTTCAGAGCAATCTGACTATTATAACATTAGCGTTAAGAAAGCCTACTTAAATATCTGCCACAACATAAGTAACCGGATCAGAGTAACATTAAGTACAGTCCACAGCACTGTGAGTGCAGACGTCGATGTGTCCCATTATCATTCATACTGTATGCTGAAGTATTATTTTAAGCAACACATTAAGTTGACGAAACACTCGAGTCAAATGTAATTAAAGTCAGATCGTGTCTTAGACGGGGCCGTGATATCATAAACCTGTTACGCATTCAAACACTTTTTCTTTTGCCAGCTGTATTCACCTTGCAGGTGCAGCTCTGTGGCTTTGATCCTGGATAAAGTGTTTAAGTCATGGATGTTTAAAGTTTAACTTCTTCATATGTCTAATATTATAGTTGACTTTTCATTCAGGAAGTATGACGCTGCGCTGTCAGTATGCTTCTCCATGTTTCTGATTGGTCGAATGCTCCAGATACCACCCCTTTCATGTGAACGCGCACCTAACTAGATAGGACACGGCTGGCTTGAGCGATCCACTTGATAACCCGCGTCGTAGGACCGTTTAGCGAGAGCGCGTATGTTTTGGATTAGGCCAACCGGCTAACTCAAACATATCCAGGTTATGTTGAACCGGCTTCGTCGTACAGGCCTCTGGTGAAGCAGCCTGTAACTGAAGGAGCTGCACTGTGTGTCTTTATTGTCCAGTTAAATGGAGCCGATAGAAGCAGGGAAAGAGAGCGTTCACAGAAAACATTCAGCACTATAAGGTTGTGATTGACAGCTGGAGGCCCCTTGACTGACAGCTCAGATCATCACCCTGTCTGATCTAGAATGTGACTACATCAACGCCAGAGCCTGCTGCTCCAAGCTGAACAAAGTGAGTCACGTTAGATGGTTCCTTTTTATTTTATGATGTATTTTGTTTGTAGTGCCATTTTATTTATTTTGATGAAATGCTGATGTATGATTTTGATGTTTGTATGTTTGACATTTTGTGTCTCCAGTGGGTAATTCCAGAGATGGTGGGCCAGTGTCTCTCCACCATGCTGATGCTGGTCTCCATGCACTGGTTCGTCTTCCTGCTCAACCTGCCTGTAGCAGCCTGGAACATTTATAGGTACGCTCATACTATTATAATAATAATAATACATGGGATTTGTATAGCTCTTTGCCTAATGCTCAAAGACGCTTACAATTATTATCTGCATTGTCATCTGTCTGTACGGTTGGGTATAATGACAATATATAGTGTGACAATAAAGACAATGGAGAATAGAGATGATGTTGTCAGAGGTCAAGTTTTGGACATATTGACATTTTTAGAAGTTTTTTTAGCAGGTGAATCATCGAGAATGCTGTTGCAGTAATCAAGTCTAGATGTAAAGAATGCATGAATCAGTTTTATCGGTAATGAAGAAGGGGGAGGATCGATATAGGCAATGTACTTTAGGTGGAAGAAGTCCGTTTCTGTGAGGAAGGGGAGGGTGGGGTCAAGGACAATGCCAAGGTTAAAGACGTGAGTGAATGGTCAATGTTCAGTTAAAAATCCTGAGTGGACCAGGTAAGTGAGTTTGGGCCAAGGATGACCATTTCAGTTTTGTCACAGTTCAGTTTGAGAACGTCTTTTTCCAGCAGACATAGTTCTTGTAGAGATATTTATATTATACATGAAGTCTGAGCTTTGCATATATTTGAATAAATGTATATGACACGCTCTCCTCTGTTCCCTGCAGGTACGTGAAGGTTCCCATGGGAAACATGGGCGTGTTTGACCCCACTGAGATCCACAACCGAGGGCAGCTCAAGTCCCACATGAAGGAGGCCATGATCAAACTGGGGTACCACCTGCTCTGCTTCTTCATCTACTTGTATAGGTGAGATCACACACACACACACACGCACGCACACACACACACACACACACACACACACACACACACACACCACACACACACACACACACACACACACACACACACACACACACACACACATGCAAGCACACAACATGTAATGACATGTTCAACACCTACAGCCGTCACTTCTGTATTAACACATCTCCCCCCTTTTATTGCAGCATGATCCTGGCTCTGATCAACGACTGAAGAGCCCAGCAGGGTGCCAAAATACAACTCTGCTGCCCCCCCCCCCCCCCCCTACATCCTGCTCCTGTACTATATCCATACAGTCTTTCAGAACAGCTCAGAGAAGGTTTTCTCTCACTGGTTTACTGAGCTTGATTTGAGATGTTAGACCTGATTTAATAAAATGCAACAGTTAATATTTAAAATAAACACTTCATAACAAAATCTCCTACAACTAGAGACGGTATTGTGATGGAATCACACCAGCCTGAAGCAAAATCCAGACTCATGGGGTGAACAACAACTAGGCCTGTTGTGTGCATTGAGTTGCTTTCACATGATTGGTGACGGACTGATGATGACATACACACGTAGATGTACCTGATGGCTACTGAGTGTGTATTCTGATATTCTGAGCTGTGGTACATCCTGGCTGCTGGCCCTCTATCAGCCAAACCTGACATAAAGCAGCAGTGATTGACTTCCTGCCCGGGCTTTAAAGACCAGCTGTTTGAAATCAGTAGGATGTGTAACTCCTCCCATCAGTGTGTGAGCTGCTTAGATGCATGTTTAATTTATCTTGACATTTTTAAGAAGAATACTGGCGGTCTTAACTGATATACTTTCTGTCTCCGACTCCATAACAAAGACATCGTGGGCCAGTAGGGTCTCTCTGTTTGGCCTTTCAAATAGTAACAAAGTAAAAGAAAAGGCAACAATTTCATCAACAGATTAAAAAAAAAAAAAACTGGTAGGAAGAAGCCATAGGACAACATTGAGTTTAGGATCCTACTCACTGGGCCTTTAAGAAGAGATTTTAAAAGAAACTGAATTGGTGAGTGCGTGAGAGGGAGCTTAACAAAGACATTGCTTTAAAATGTCCCACAGCTGATCAGCTGACTGAAGGCCATTCCTAATGATTCTCATCATTTGTCATTATTTCTGGATGTCTCTTCATGCTGTGCTTCAGTGTTCTGATCTGTTGCTCCTTTTTCCTTAATTGGCGTAATTGGTAAAAAATCTCAATTTTGAAATCAGAGATTTAGTGTAGTATTAAAGTGTAGAGAGAATAGTTATTGTTCACCAATGAGACTGTTCTGAGACTTTATGCATACAGCCAGGAGCATTACACTCCTCCCTGATCGCCAGCTCAGCCCACACACACACACACACACACACACACACACACACACACACACACACACACACACACACACACACACACACACACACACACACACACACACACACACACACACACACACACACACACACACACACACACACACACCATCTGATTCATATTCAGTCATATTTATGTATGAGGAGCGTTGCTCTGTGTGGGTGGTCTGTGGGACGTCCCCTCACAGAGCTGGATGCTGTCCGGTCAAGTGTTCTGTTTGGAAAGCCTGTGTGTTTCTGACGGCTGTTGTGTTAAATCTGAGTTTCATTTTGAATCATTGAATTTGACCTCAGTCATGCACTGATGTAACTGACTTTGCATTGAACGCACTGTACTGTATGTTAATGTTCCCTGAGCAGCGGGGTCTCACACCCTGACTGACTGTATTATGAAAGGGGGGGGGGGGGGGTACTGTTAGTGAACAAGTTCCTGTTTTATTCACACAACTGTCTATCTATTTTTGGGGTCGGAGTGTTTCATAAATAAAAGTGAAAGACAAGTGTGAGTTATCTGTTTTCCATGTGGCATTGAGTTTACACTTTGTAATCAATGCCTTTCTAAAATCTCTTTCATACAAGTTAACGTAATGCTCAAAAGTGAAAAAACAACAAACTCTTACACAGTTTAAGTGAAAAGATGTTTTCAGAATAATAATACATTGTTATGTTGCTCCTGTATCTGTATTTCATGTCCATTGGATTGGACGAATACAGTTAACTTAAAGGGGACCTATCATGCAAAATGCACTTTTGTACGTCTTTTATATATGAATATGTGTCCCCGGTGTGTTAGGGAACTCACCAAGTGTCATAAAACACAACCCTCTCTCTTTTCCTCCATACCCAAATCTCTAAAAACGGGGCTGCAACGGATCTGATACAGACTGATACAGATTTGAAATATCTCTGATGTCAAAAACGAGGAGCTCTGCCTATATGGCCAACTCTCCACCTATCAGGAGGAGACAGCCACGGCCATTGCTGCTCGAAAGTGCTGGATACGCTGTAGTACATATGCCAGGCCTGTAGGTGGCGCTGTAGTCTGCCACAAAAGCAGCGAAGAAGACTTCTCACAGATTCAGCCCTTGCAAAAACAGGGCTAAAAAAGAGCAAATAGAGCGAAATGAGGCATGGCTAAAATGCATGATCTGTTTGGTAGTTTGCAGACATGTTTTATATAGGTATGGCCCTACAATATATTATTCAAATATAGCATGATAGGTCCACTTTAAGGATATCTTTATTAATACAATCTGTCAAGGAACGAGAGATCAATTCATTTATAAATAATAATTAATAATTTAAAGCATGTAAAAGGTTTCTTGGATGACAGATTCATCGTTTTGTCTGTATCATGACGTGACACATTTGTGCAGTTCTACAAAGCTGAATCATGTTTATATGGAGCAGTTGTCATAGCAGCAGCTATAACCTTAACTTATTTATTCAGCAGGATAATTTACGAGGTGAATCCAACACATTAAAACAACGTTCCTTCAGATCATTTCATAAAACAACAGATAATTATTGTTTAGCTTTGTCTGTCTATGCTGCTGAGGTTGCGACATGCTCCACTTGAAGTGAAGTCGACTTAACCTTGAATAGTTAACTGGAGTCTATTGAAAGAGGACATATTATTCTCCTTTTCAGGTTCATATTTGTATTGAATGCCTCTACTGTGACATGTCTCCATGCTTTAATGTTCAAAAAGCTCTTTATTTTCTCACACTGCCTGTGCTGCAGCACCTCTTTTCGCCCTCTGTCTGAAACCAGAGCCCAGTCTGCTCTGATTGGTTAGCTGGTCGGCTCTGTTGTGATTGGTCAACCAGTTAGTGATGTCCCGCCCCTTAGCCTATCACGTATAATGTGTTGGAGCACTGGCCAATAGAGTGGTGCAGTGACGAGTCCTAAAACGGGGGGTTACGTATTGTAACCCAAGTTATATAAGCACAGGCGGAGCCCTCTACTGGACTCAATGGGTACTACTCTCAACCATGCTATGCGAGCATTCACCTACTGAGTTGCATAAACGTAGCCGGCCAATCGGGGCGAGCCTACCTGAATGCGTGCGCAGGCCCACAGTATATAAGGCGGCTACGCCTCCTGACTGTCATCCTACACCCTCTTCAGCGAGCGGCATAGGAAAGACAGGGCCCCTAGGTAGAGGACTCCGCCTGTGCTTATATAACTAGGGTTACAATACGTAACCCCCCGTTATATCTCACACAGGCTCCGCCCTCTACTGGACTCTATGGGTACAGTGGGTGGAGCCCTGATGGATAAACGCCCTGTCGTCCAACAACATCGACCCATCACACTGCCCCTGACCGGCCTTTGGTTAACAGCCACCGCACCCCAACTTCCTCTCATCCGGTTGTGACCGTGGAGAAGTCGGGGCCGCAGCTTACTTGGCTGGGTAAAGCCTAATTGGTCTGAACAAGCCCATAGCTCCACCCTGCAGGTGCCAGCGCAAGTGACTAACACTGCGCACTACGTTCCCCCAGGTCCCTAAGGAGCACGGGAAGAACGCAAGTGCACTATGTCCCCCACACTCACACGCTTACCTCGTGCAGAGTGTGCATGGACCCTTTATGGGGCCTGTATGGGGCTTACTGCGCACCATGTTTCCCGGGTCCCTAAGGAGCATGGGAAAACATAAGTGCATTATGTTATGGGGGGGGTCAGATACCTACTGACCCACAGGCCCCCCCCCCCCCCCCCCCCTCTCACCAGTCCTGTGTTGCCCCAGCAAGCACAGACGGTGAAAAGGAGCCAGACATGTCCAAGAGATAATACCTTATGAAGGGGCCTGGCGTAGACCAAGATGCCGCCGTACATATATGTATGTCCTCCACACTCACGCCGCAGAACAAGGCTGTTGATACAGCCATACCATGTGTAGAGTGTGTATGGACCCCAGTGGGGAAGGTTCTCCCCGCCTGTCCATAGACATGTGAAATGCACTCGCACAGCCATCCTGTCAGGCGTTTCTTGGACAGAGCTTTACCGGCCACACCATCCCCAAAGCACACAAACAGCTGTTCAGTGCGCCTAATGGAAGCCGTGCACCCTACATAACATGCCAGCGCACGCACCGGGCAGAGGAGGTGCAATTTAGACTCCCTGTCCCCAATATGGGGTGGAAGACTAAAGCCGTTCAACTGTATAGCCCTCGACCTGAACGAACTCCTTAGGTTCTTGGGAACAAAGGAGGGGTTCGGTCTGAGTGTCTCCCCGCTACGGTCACCCCGAATCAAAAGGCAACCCGGGTGCACCGACAGAGTGGTCAGCTCGCACACTCTCTTGGCCGAAGTCAAGGCAAGCAGCAAAGCTGTTTTCAATGATAGTGCCTTCAGGGAGGAGAGCTCCAGAGGCTCATGGTTCTGTGACCAGAGCCTCGAGCACCAACGGCAGATCCCATTGCGGGGTGGAGACATGCACCACTGGGTGCTGTCTCCTGACCAAAAAACGTGCCATAAGCAGTTGACTAAAGGCTGACCTGCCGCCAAATCCCTCATTGCAGGACGAGGTGGCTGCTGCATACACCTTAATTGTGGAATGAGCAAGCCCCCTGTCCACCAGTATCTGTAAATAGGACAGAATAGAGCCCACCGTAAATGATAGAGGCTCTAGACTCCTTTCTTCCCACCACCGCTGGAATCCCGACCACTTCGTCCTGTAACAGGCTGTGATGGATCCTGCTCTTGCTGCCTGGATAGTCTGAATAACATTCTCAGACAGTCCACCCCTTCTCGGCCTGTCCCTCTCAGGAGCCAATCCTGGAGAGGTTGGCCCAGAGTGGGTAGTTTCTGTCAGAGGCCAGCCACCACCTATAGCTCTCTTTAGGCAGGTCCCCCCCCATCCTGTCACGGATGCATCTGTGAACACCGTGATGTAGAAGGTCACCTGCCCCAGTGGAGTTCCCCTCCGCAGATGCTCTGGGAACCCCCAGTATCGGAGGTTGCCCTCCACTGAGGGGGGGGGGGGGGGGGGGGGGGGGGGGGGGGGATGGTCACCAGACGTCGTTTGTGCCTCTTGGGATCTAAACGAAGGCCGGCAAACCACCTCTGCAGGCGACGCATATGCAGTAACCCCAGCGGTACCACAAGGTGAGCAGCCATCATGAGACCCAGAGTCTGCATGATGGTCAAAGCTGTCACGTTGCCCCCTGTCACGGTCTGCAAACTGCCTGAAGCAGGGATGCCTGTCTGCTCTCTGACAGGGTGGCACATATTCTGCCTGCATCGAGCAGAATTCCCAGATACTCCACCTGCTGGTGAGGTATGGGACTGCTCTTCCTCCAATTGACCGCAAACCCCACTTGCATCAATTGGGCTGTGTTTGCCCCTTCCCTGGACCTGGCCATGACTATGAGGTCGTAAAAGAAAACCCTCATGCCATGGTCACGAAGCGGCTGAAGCGCTGTGGCCACACATTTGCTGAACGTGCGTGGGGATAGGGAGTAGCCTAACGGTAGTCTTTTGTACTCGTAGGCTACCCCCTGGAAGGCAAAACGCAAACTACTTTCGGTGATTTTGAGCAATTTTGACATGAAAGTAAACGTCCTTCAGGTCGATGGCTGTGAACCAATCGCCCGGCTGCACTAGTTCCAGTAATTGTTTTACATATGAGACTTTTTGCAGGCAATGTGCTGATTCAGGCTGCGAAGATCCGGAATGGGTCTGAACTCTCCTGTCTTCTTGGAAACCAGGAAGTACATGGAGTAAAGCCCCTTTTCTCTGTCATGAGAGTGCACAACAGACACAGCCTGTTTTTGCAACAGGGCCTGAATCTCTGTTGAAAGGAAACCTGTCTCCTCCTGGGATGATAGATTTGCCTCTCTTATGCCCCTGAATGGAGGAGGGATGCCGCAAAACTGGAGTGAGTACCCCAGTTTCAGGGTCCTGTCCATCCATTCTGTCAGTACACAGCTGAGCTTCCATTCCCCATAAAACTGTGTTTAGGGGACCTGCAAGCACCTGCGGAGTCGCAGCTAAGAAGCTGTAGCACTCCCTGGTGGCCCTCCTCCGCCAAACCGAAAGGAAGATTGGCTTATGGGGAACCAACATTAAAAGGGCAGATTTTCTGCGGAGGTCAGAGGTTCTCTGCCCAGCCTGCTGCCTGTGGGAGCAGATGGGCTGCCACGCTCCGCCGCCATGGTCATCACCAGGGGGCGGACAGACCTGGGCAGTGGACTTCCATGGACGCCGGACCCGGAAGTGCCTGACAACGAGAAGTCCTCGTCTACCTCCTCCCCGGCAAACGGAGTCATCCGCCCCACTTGAATGGCGAACGTGAAAGGCGAACGTGAATGGCACCACCTCGGCCATATCCTGGTCCCCCAAACACTCAAAGCAGAGGTGGTGGGGATCAGCGCCCGCTATTAAGCCAGGGCACGAAGGACAGGTATGATAACTTATTTCTTCTTCTTTCAAACGTTTTACTTTCCTCTGTCAGGTGTTGTCCTGCTCGCTGAAGAGAAAAGGATGACAGTCAGGAGGCGTAGCCGCCATATACTGTGGGCCTGCACGCGCATTCAGGTAGGCTCGCCCCGATTGGCCGGCTACGTTTATACAACTACGTATAGCAGGGGTATTGCGCGAGGTGAATGCTCGCATAGCATGGTTGTGAGTAGTACCCATAGAGTCCAGTAGAGGGTGGAGCCTGTGTGAGATATAACCCGGAAGTGAGTTAGCATTTTACCACTACCGGTTCCCTCGTCTCAGAGTCAATGGGATTTCGCTATAGGATTTTGGAAAATAGCTGGAAATAAGGTATGTGGTTGACACCCATTTAAGAGACGGATCATGTTTTGTTCCACAACATTAAATACATTAGCAGTGACCCCACTGGGGATTTTTGAAGAGTTTTCGTGTCTGAAAACGATGGTTGTTAGCAAGTGGCTGAATAGGACTACAGAAGTTGTCGAGGACGTTCTACGTCATTACGCCGAACACGTAAACACGCCCGCTAAGTTTGTTTGCCCCTGTTCTGCTTGAAAGCAAGTACCTGCGCTCTTGCAAACTGTTAAAACAAACGCTTCAACTTGTACAATTTTGAATCTGTATTTTTGAATATCGATCTTAAGTTGGCGTGACGTTGAAGTCGTGCGGCCCTGCTGCGCGGCTGTAGTTCCTTTATAGCAGGGGTCGGGGACTGTAACCAGGACTGTAACCAGTGGCACACTAGGAATAAGTGTGCACAAATATTTAAATTATATTTTTCGGAACGAGACCGCCGGCAGAGCGCGTCTCCCCCTGTAGAAGGAAGCCACGCAACGCAGCGCAGGATAACTTCTATGCCCCGCTGTCTTTAACTCCAGTCGACTTTCTGCTGCTTTCCTCCATGGTGAAACGATCAGGGGTATAGCGCACTTCACTCATTGCAGTAGCCTATAAGGAGCTGTACATGCCACAGTTTTTGCGTGGCTGTGTCTTTAGTTGAAAGCCCAGTGGCGATCTGCTCATCTGTCATTGAAAATAATATGCTACACAGGGGCGGACTGGCCAACTGTGTGTTCTAGAGAATCACAGTACGTCCAGTCGTCAACGAACCGAGCCGGTCGCCAGTGGGTAGGGTGGTTTGAGTAGCAATGTCTCCATAGAGTGGGATGTCTCTTTTTGAGCGACACGTTTCTTGTGAGAATCGCATTCTCGGTGTCTTTTGACGTCGTATTCACCGCCATGTGAAATTGAAAAATTACTATTGCAAAGATTGCAAAAAACTCCCTCTGAGTGTCGCCCTGCACTGGCTTCACCCACGGGTAAGTGTCTTCCCAGTCTTTGTTGTATGTGCTTCTTATTTTCTTCTTAGCTGTAGTTTCAGTTTCCTCCATTTTCCATTGGGGGGGGGGCGGGGGCGGGGGTGTGTGTGAGTGAGTTACTCTCATTGGTTAACACTTGACCAGCACCCGCCGTGTGTTACAGTTTGATTGCCAGCAAACACACCCCCGTGATGATAGCCTTCCCTGCTTTCTCAACAGCCATTGGATAAATCTGATTTTAAGAAAAGAATTTTAGCCTATCAAAATTAAATATGCGGGACATGGTCTCAATTTGCGGCGGGACGCACCAAAAACATAGGCGGAGTTTGACATTTGCGCTTGGGGGGGCAAACCTTTTTTACTGACGTCAGTACACAGTCCCAACTATTGCATGGGGTGCTACGGATACAGTAGCAATAAAGCCAGCGCTCACCGCACTGAGTATGACTTTTCCATGCCCGCCGTACACACACACTCATATGGAAGGGGCGGTCTCTCCCCCCAACAACAGTGCATTACATAACTGTACAACTTATCATAACTGTGCACATCTTATACTTATTTGACAACTACTATATCCCTTGGTTACTTGAACACGCTACAATATTATTAACCAGTGTCCTACCTTATTAAAATATTGATATACGAAATATTTGTATTGGAACAGTTTTCGACGTAGTAATGCTGTAACATATTTCAGCAACTAGGGGGGGCAATGCACCCCCTGATCCCCCGCAAAATCCGCCTATGACCAAAAGTCGTGAAAATGCTGTGCAGTCCCGCGCAAAGCGGGACATCTGGTCACCCTACCAGCGGGCCGTTGACGACCGGGCTCGGACGTCGGCACACTAATCAGATTTAATTTTTTTAATGGAACTTCATATCAAAAAGGTTGCCGACCCCTGCTTTATAGCATAACGTTAGCATTTTGCTTCTGACGATTAGATTTATGATTAGAAAATTATAAAAGTAGGGTAGACGTGGATATTATCCGGCTGAACAAAACGTGTATCAAACAGGTTCGTTTTCCACAGACCTTATTTCGAGGTATTTTCCAAAATCCTATGGAGAAACCCCATTGCTTTTTTGTCGAGGGAACCCATGCACAGTTTACTTCCGGGTAAATACGTCATCCCTGCACCACTCTATAGAAGCGCGAGTGTTAAATAGTGATGTCACTATGTTACAGAAGTAAAAGAAGTCCAAGGGAGGCATTTCAGGCAGGTGGGGGAGTGTGGGAGAGAAACTCCCTCTGGAGGGAACACAGGGATTTTAGCTTTTGCAGACCATTTACATGCACAAAAACACAACACACCACAAAAAAGGGACAGCCCCAAAATGCATAATAGGGTCTGTTTCATTGGCAAAAGTCAACTTTAAAAACAAAGCTTTCAGTGGCTGAAACAAAGAAACGTCCTTGAACGCAGAAACCAAGTATAAATCAAGGAAAGAAAGGTAAATTACATTTTAAAACCCTGAATTCTTTATTTAAAATATGCATACATAACACTTCTTCTACATACAATACAGAACAGTACAATCACTTTTTTTGTAGTAACACATTTAAAACGT